AATTTAGATGAATAAATATATTGATTAATGATTAATATTTGTATTAATAATTATTAATATACATATATTACTACTATGATATATCTTTATCAAGCTTTTTATTTTTGCTCTAAATGTCTTTTTTTTTATGAATCCTTATCCATAGGTAACTAAAGAATAAAAGATAAAAATACTTTCAATAATTCTTTGAGTGTAGGATCATTGAGATCGTGTGCAGACTTGAATTTAGTTTCATCTAATTTTAATCCTGAAATTTAGATAGTGCTATTAGCAAGAACAGCAACAGTAATAGTGAATTATGCAACAATACTATTTGGACTTATCAAAATAGGATAAGGATTTAATAATTCATGTTTAGCACATTCTTAAACAGCTAATTTAGCTGTAATTTCATCTTCGAAGGCTCTTAATGAGAAACATAAAGATGGATATTTTTCATAAACTTCTTGCATAAATGCTCTACCATGTTTAGTTTTTAATTAATATTATCTATCTAATGCTCTTTTATAGACAGTAGTTCTTAAATCAGACTAAATGAATATATAAATATTGATATTTACCTCTTTAGTCTTTCCATCACCTGTTGTAATATAAACATCTAAAACAAAAACATCATTAACTTAGATTTCTTCTTCATCAACTCTTTGTTCTTATGTTTCTCTATTAATGATAACCTTATTTCCATCAATAAAGTGTCTTTTAACTTCATGACTTAAAACTCCTTCTAATGGAGTACATTTATGATCATCTGCAATTTATTAAATAAGCTTAGTTAAAGCTGTATTAGTAGTGCCTGGCTTAATTGATCTATAAAGAGCTTAAACTGATTAATATGCAGCCAATATAACATCAGCCTTCTAACCTTCGACTTAATCTTCTCCTACTACTACTGTGTGTGCAGCTATTGCAATATATCCATCTATATGTACGCCCAATTCACTATTTATTTATTATTAAAATTACATCTTAGCTACATCACCCTTTACTAAATTACTGGTTTCACTCTTCAATGGAGAATAATGACCGCATATTTAATTCACAGAAATTGTTGTTGGAAATGCCAACCCTTTTTCTATATTTTTCTTATTGTAAACTTTTTATAGTTCTCCACTTATCTCTGAATCTCCAAAAGCACAAATTTAAGCTATATCACCATTTACTTATAATTTAGCAATCACTTTTTCAAGAACAACTAATCATTTATTTATTTTAAAAATTACCATTTACTATTTTACCTGCATTTTGATATTTATCTAATACTCCTGGAGTAGCTATTGATTCAAGTTTATCTTACTCTGTTTATTAATCCATATTAAATTTTAAATATTTATTTAAATCTTTATATATATTTTATAATCATATATAAATATTCATATTTAGTTAATTTTCAACTGCAATACCCTAACTATTCCCACATCTACTCTTAATCTTCATATTCATCAACCTTATATTTTGGCATCCATTATCCAAAATCTACTTCAGGTGTAAATACTTTATCTAAGGTTAATTTAAATGCATCATCCAACATTCTAGGTATCAACATTTTTAATAAATTTGAACTCTCTTCTAAACAAGGATTTGCATTCACTTCTATTAACCATAGCTTAAGATTTTCATCTATCATAAAATCATAACCTAATAATTGCATCCCATATTTTCTATTTCTTTTATTCAATCTTGTTGAGTTCATTGTTATTTTTACTACATCTTTTATCATTGGCCAACCTTCCTTTCTAAAATTATACGTTGTCTCCTATTAACTACTTTTATATTTTAAATTTACTCTAATAATTATTAAAATCTCTTCAATGATAATTAATTACCATCTTCAAATTATCCATAATTTTATGCATTCTTTTAAACTGCATTATTTGTCAAATGTATGTATCTATCTTTCTAATTATTATTAATTCTAAAAATACATTATCTAATGAAAAGGTTGTTCCACTCGTTCTTATATAAGCTTCTTTAAATAAAAAGTATTGCATTTCCTAAGATATTAGAACCCAACATCTTATATCAAATTTTCTTCCACTCAACAACAAAGGTCTCTCAATATATTTTTGGATTACAAATTCTTTACACTCATAGTTCCCCTTTCCATAATAGTATGACTTTATTAATGCTTCAACTTCTTCAAGAGTACTGAATACATGAACACCTTCACCTCTATTCCAATCAGCTGGTTTTAAAAGCCATAAATATTATGTTTTACTCTACAAAGTTTCCTATAATTTATAAGTCTTAATTCCATTATAATTAACCTTTGTACCTGCCAAATTAGATACATAAAAATCAAATTCCAAAGTCGATTTTATATTTCCTTATCCTATTGGATTATTAGTTTAATAAAATTCTGTAAATTGTTGAATCTCTTTCATCCAATCTTAATTTTTAAAATTGAATATAAAAACTAAAGGTATAATATCAAAAGTTCTCTCAATGTTATTGTAATATTGAAGTAATGATTAAGATAAACCTAAGAATATTCTCATATCTACCTGTCTTTGAAGTGATATTTTTATGAAATTCAAAGAAATTATACATTACTCTAGTAAAATAACTCTCAGATGGAGTTAAACGATTAAAATCCATGCCAAAATATGATTGTTACCACATGAAGTGTTTATATTAAAATGTTTATGGAACAGCAGTCCAATATTATTCTCGCTTTTATAAAATTTTTTTTACTAGTTCTCCATTATTTCCTGGCCCAACATAATAATTGAACTTAAAATAATTTTAAAATGTACTTTTAACTTAGGTAAATCTTTATCTCTGTTTAATTTCAAAGGTGGATTTAATGCAGGGATTGCTACTTTTGATCTATTTGCAAAAGGTGTGTAATTATTTGGCTAGATTTATCTTTTATTTTATTTTTCCAAACTTTCAGATAATATTCTAGGATAAAAGAAATCTTGTTTTTATTGTCTTGCAGTTTGTCTGTTAGTTATAAGTGGTAATAATGGTTATTGCAGTTATTCCTCTAAAACTTCCGCTAAAGGTATTTCTTTTCCTGCCAATAATTTATCTCTCTATTATTATCTTGCTATATAATATTTAACTCCATCGGCATATATATTTAAACTTCTTGCTAAGTCTGGTTTTTATTTAATTATTTTTTCTAATGTTTTTTTTTATCTATCATCAGCTTTACACAATAATTCCAAATTATGAAAGTTACCTAAAGATTTACTTTGAATTTGTTCTTCTTTCTCTTTTTTTTTTAATTTTTTCTCTTAAGTAGAAGATGCCATATATAATATTAAATATATAAATAAAATTATAAAATATCAGTTGTAAAATAATGTACTTCTTTTTAAATTTGATATTGTTTAAGCTAGTTGAATATTTTTCAGTTTATAAAATTATTTATATAAAGTCTTATAAGTTAATAAATAAAAAATATAAAATAAATGTACGACTTTTCAAGAATGCAAAAATTAGTGGATAGAATGCAAAAATTATAGCCTTCAAAGCCCCCTCCAGATACAAGGTTTTTACCAGAAGAATTAAAAAAGGATAAGATTGTAGAAGATCCAAGAAATAATGAAAAAAAAGTTAAAAGATAACTTCTCATTAAAAATGCGAAAGGGTCAAGTGGTTTGAAACCAGTTGAAGATGAAAGATTATTACTCATTTAAAAGGAGAATTACTTGAAGAAAAAGTAAAGAGAATTAGAGATGGAATAAGTGAAAAAGGAATTAGCAGAATAAAAAAAGTAAGAAAAGTAAAAATTAGAAATAGAAACTTAAAGAGCATTACAAGTTGTTAAAGGCAAAAAAGAGTATAAAACACAAAATTTATATTAGGGTATCATAAATGGAGAGGGAAGAAAAAATAAAAAAGCATATAGATAATGAATTTCTTAAGAGAAAATAAAAAGGAAATAATTCAATTTAGATGTCTTCAATTGATGCATCATACGTATCCTAAAGTTAAAATTTAAATAACTCTTTGATTAAGAAATAAATTTTAGATTATCACACACTTCCTAAAGAATAATATAATCGCATTTATCGTTAACCAGCTGTAAGTCCCCCAAAATGAATTCATAAATAATATTCATTAGAAACATTAGCCCTTAATTATATTATTAATTTTAATAATAGATATAGAATTCTAATATTTCAATTTAATTTTTATCTTTAAGATAAAGTTCTTTTAGCTTCTTAGAATTTCCTTTAAAACTCTGATAATTATGTTTGTTCTCCATTATTTGCTATAAAAGATTAATTATTCTCTTTATTTTCATCCTAAATAATTTACTGAATTGGAGTCTAAAATTAAAATAATCTTTTAGTTCTATCATCTCTAGCTCTTTCATATAATTTTTTTTCATTAATAGTAGGTTCAACAGTTTCTAACGCTCTTAAAGACATAATTTTTAATTTTGTAGATCTAATATCTTCAATTTATTATATAATGCTTTGTGGATCTAACTAATATTGTAATTATAATGATGCACCCCATGTATTTCTTTCTGTAAGTATAGTTCTAGTAAGTTAATCAATTTTTCTATTATTAAGTGCAATATAATTAAAAGCCATGATAGCTTGACTTTAATCAGGATGATCTGGAAAATATGATTCTATATCACTTAAAACATCATTTAATTTCTAAGACTTCTATATATAATTACATCCATTTGTGATTATATTTTTTGAACTTCAGCATCAATTTCTTTGACTTTTTCATACATCGTATCATCAGCAACCTAGATAAGTTCAGACTCTTTCAATTAAAGAGCTTTGTATAACTCTTAAAAATTGGATTATATCTACATTTTAGTTGAAGTATTAATTTCAACTAGTTCTTTCTTTTTTGCAGCAAATTTACATTAATCTTACAACAATTAATCTTGACTAGATTTTACTTTCTAATAAAATTAATCAGCCTAAAATAATGAAATTAAATTTACTTTTGTTGTTCTAATTATTGAATAAGACTTTTGAACATTTTTGACTTCATGATTTTTATGTAATCCTTATAAATAGCATTCCATACAAAAACAAGGTGTTTCACATGTATAACAGTAAAGTAATGCTTCTTCACTAGCATGTTATTAACATGTAACAGTTAATCCTTGTTAAGTATTAATATGAATTTAAGATGCTTTAGAATGAGTAGATACTTAATATTAGATTTGTTATCTTGAGCTTTTTAAATTTGCAGTTGACATTCGAGATGACTACAATTTATACATTTCTTATAGGACTTCAATAGCAGAAGGATCCAATAGTGTTTATGATGAACAGATTTCACAAACTAATGTTTAACATTATAATTTATTATAGAGTTTGGCTGAGCATTAAAGACATAGATTATGCTCACACGATAAAGCCAATATTTAATCTACTTCATTTCCACATTTAGTGCATTCCAAGAGATCCTCCATTTAACTGCTAATTTAAATTTGAATATAATTAATAAATATATAAAATTTCATTTAGCAGCTAATGCTTATAATAAATTAGTATGTATTTAATAGAATGTTTTTTGCATATCATCTTAAAAATGAGGTCTTTTTGTATAGAATCCTTAAAACTAACTTTCTTCATAAACTCCAACAATATATCTTTCATCATCAAACTTTTCAAGTTTTTCTAATCTAACAATTATTTTTCCATCAACAACATCAACTAAGTTTAATTGAATAATTTTATATTCAGGATTTCTATTGAGTACTCTTAAATCAAAATATTTCATATAATGAATTTAAACAAGAGAAACCATACATTTAATTAAAAATACCTACCCTGAAATTTCAATTAAAGCAGGTAGAATATATACTAATATTACAAGATCTCCTATTATCATCATCTATTAAGTTTTAGTCATATCCAATTATTTTTCTTTCCAAAATAAAACTCTTCTAGCTACGAATAGTCCTCTGTCTATTTCTGGTTAATCAAAAAATTAAAGATATGATAAAAATTTCAATTCTGGTATCATGAAGTCGTTTGTACAATAAGTAACTAAACTAGTCATTAGATATTTCATTGCGTTTGTTAATTACATATATGATTGATCAATTTCTTATTCTGTCAAAGGTTTTTCTGGATTCTTTTGATAAAAAGGAAATATACAATAAAATCTATTTCTTTTATTTTAGTCAGATAATTTTCAACTTTTGCTAAAACCATTTTGCACCAATCATTAATTCTTTTTAAAGCAATAGGATATGAAATTTTTTAGATTATAGCTTTACATTCAACTTAATGTTTTTATAATTTTCTCCATAAAATATTTATAGGTTTACAATATATTTTCCATCTCATAGCAAATCGTACAGCATTGAATATAACTTTAAGTTTGGATCCTTAAAAAACTTTTTCTTTATCTCCATTCTAAATTAAATTAAAGTTAAAATACATCAGAAAAAAAACTTTATTTAGTTTATGAATTAGACCTCTTAGAAACTAAAGAAATAGTTTTTTAACTAGATCTCTTTGAATTTTAGGCTTAAGATCCAGCTGTTTTTATTTTAATTTTGCCAGCTGATTAAGAGTTTTATGCATTAGCTTACCCTTCTTATGATTAAGGTTATTGATAATATGGATATTGATAAGGATTGTATTAAAATGGTTATTAATATGGATATGGAGGAGGTAGCTATCCATATGTAGGATAAGTAGGAGGAAAATATGGATGAGGCGACGGAAAATATTAAGGTTATTAGATAGGAGGTATTTATTAATATATTATCTATGGAGGTTGTTATATTGGCTATTAAGGTTATTAGGCTTATTAGAAGAAGGATTACTTTAAGGATGAAATTTCATGTTTTATTTCATTTAATTATTCATATTAAGGTAGTTTTGGCAATTTTAGATGTATTGTTTAAACTTGATTTTTTAAATTCTCTAATTCTTACTTTAAGACTTAAGCTTTATTTACCTTTATTATCCATTTATAATTTTACTTCTCTTTATTCTTTTAATAATCTTTTTATATTCTAATTTTATTAATCTATTGCTATCTACATTCGAACTACTTCTTGATTTATAGACTCTTCTGGTAATGTAGAAACTTTAGGAAACTAAAATGATTTATTTAAGTGGCCAGATTATCTAATTCCACTTTTTTAACTAGACTCATGTTTCAATTAAACATCGTAAGTTGGTTTCATATATTTATCTAGTAAATCTAATTGATTTTTTAAATCATCGTATCCTATTTATGATCTCTGATAAGATGATGCTCTCTTATCTCTCTAATACATTTTATATTAATTATATAATCATATTATATTTCAAAATATTAACTGTGATTTTTACTTAGCACAATCAATAATCAATTAATTTTACTTAATGATGATTTCTAATTTATTTTCAGGAAATAATATATAAGAATTTATCAAAAATTTTATCTTCATATCCATTGGAATAAAATATTAATAAAATTTATATTATATATAAGAATTTTCAAATAAAGTTTAAATTTCAATGTCAGATGATGATAGTGTATATTTGTCAAATAATGAACAATCGTCTCAAAATTATGTCTAAATAAAAAAAAAATCATACTTAAAATTATAAGACTTAATCTAACCTCAAGAAAAGGTTTAAAGATTAAAAAGAAATTACAAATCAAAACTCTGGAATGAGAAAAATGTAGAAATATTATATAGACTTAATGCTGTTTTCTCTGGAAGTATTGATATGATATTTAATTATTTTAAAAAACATGTCAATGAAAAGATTACTCTTAAAAAAATCAAATAAAAGTTCAAGTAGGAATTAAAAAATAACCCTGAAAAATTATTTGATAAATGTTATAAGCCTAAATTAAAAGAAAAACATTAAAAAAAATTAGAATTAGTTGCTTAAATGTAATCCTTACATTTGGTAGCTCGATGGAGTCAAGTTTCTGAAATTGATAACAATTAAATTATAGGCAGTAATGAAGAGGATACAGAAATCTAAATAAACATATTAAATGAAATAAATGGTCTCATTTAAGCTAATAGATTATAATAAAAAGATATAAGAAATTAGCAATAACTAAAATGAATTCTTTTTTATATATTTATCTATTCTTATTTTACTAATTTAACATCTACTGTATAAATTTATAAAGAATTGAAATTATAATAGGAATTTAGGAACAAGTAAAATTTAAAACATTCATTAATCAATGCAAACTAAACTGCGTTGATAGTTCAAATTTTAAAATTTATTTGCATTTTAATTATTCAAGGAACTTAGTGATCCAAGTGATGGTTTAAATTTGTTAGTGCTTTTATTAGTAATTTAATCAATAAGAGTCATAGATTTTGGAGGTTGCATAGAAACAATTGTTTATTCATCCAATGGAGCCCTACAAAGGGGACAGATCTAATTAAATAATTTAATTACTTTTATTTTTTCAATCCAAAGCTTTAAGCATTTAGCATGATACAAATGTTTACAGTATGTGATTTTAACATTATTTAATAAATCAAATCTTTCCAAACATATTGAACAATATTAACCATTTGTATTAATGTAGGGAACATCAGTTTCTTTAATTTCTTAAAATTTATAAGTAGGTATATATAAATCAACATAAGTTGGAACTACTTCTGTCTATAATTATAAACTTTATAATTCTGCTTTCTTTTTAAAAAAGTTAGAACAACAACAGATTAAAAAAAGAAAAAGCAATATTGAAAAAGGGATGAATAAAATTAGCATAACTTTTGATAAAACAACTTCTTAAACATCATTATCAAATATTTCTACATTATTTTAATTCTAAATTTTAAACAAATAATAAGGAATCTATTAGACTTTAATCTAATCCTAAACTTATGTTGTAATATTTTTGCAGTATTCTATTCGTTAATGGTCAATCTAAATCAAATTTGTTAAAACTTATGTTCCATGATTAACTTATGGTTGATCTGCATAACATTATTATCTAATAGGAATAGAATTCGAAAGTATTCTTAAAAAATTAGGCCCAATTATTTCTTATATGTCCAAATAATATAAATAATTTGAAGATAGAGCTTATTAATCTAAAATATTTAATCCTTATAGACTGCAATCATCACCAAAAGTTCCTTATAAACATTCGCAAATTCCATAAAAACAAGTCCCCCCATTCCTGCATTCTCTAATTTTTATTAATTTTTTTACTTTTAACAAGTATATATTGATTATATTTCTGCTTAAATGCTATAGGATGATTAAAGTTTTGATATTGCTCCAACAAATAAACCAGTATTTTAAAATTCATAAATATTATAATTTTTATGATATTTCCCTACTCTTAACTTATCCTAAAGTGAAAATACTTATTTTTTATTCTAAACTTCATAAGCATTTACATCATATTAACATTATTCTCTAAAACTTATAAATTATTATACTTTGAGATTGAATCATAGTCTAATGACATATTAGCGTTTGGTTTATTATTACACAATAAGAGTATAGGTAATTCTCCATCATTATGTTTAAGAGTTATTGTAATTTTTGATTTTTCAGATAAACCATTTTAAGTTAAATTCTTTATTTAGAAAACTTATATCCCAATTACTCTCTAATAATTTTATTCTATTTTTTGGTTGATACCGATTTCAATACAACTTAGAAATATTAAAATGAACATTTTTATATTTAATACAAAAAATATTATATGGATACAAATTTCAGTAATTATTCATTTAATTTACAATTCTAATTTTTATTGCATAGGCATATGTCTAATGGCTGAACCAGTATCTACAAATGTAACTAAATTTTTTTTTCTATTGCTCTATATATTTGAAAATGTTGATTATTATATGATATCTGTTTTTTAATTTTTTCTCATTGTCTCCAAATCTAAAGGAGATCTACAACGAGGACAACTCTAAAAAATTATAATCTATAATTTTACTTTGTTATTTGTCCACCACATTTTAAAACAAAAATCATGGTAAAGATGATTACAATAAGTTATTCTGACAGATTAATTTATTTAAAATTCTTTCATACATAAAGCACACTCAATATCTGATTATTCTATCGATTCAATAGCTAGAGAAAATTTGATAATTGGGACAACTCTTAAAGCCTTTAAATCTTTTGGATTTTTATGATGATAAAATACATAAAACATACTAAACAAAGCTATTATAAGTAAAGCAATAAAAGCAACAATTAAATTTTAGAAAATATAATGTTTCTCTATAGTTAAAATCTTTACTGAATTTGGTGAAGTTAATTCAAAAATAATATAAGACTATAACTTAATAGAAAGTTATTCTTGTATTTCAATAGTTTTCATTAAGCAGGATTATATAAAAGTTTGATTCAAAATAATTAGATTAGTTGAAATTTATACCCCTGAAAAATTAATTTAGTATTGATGCTAACATGTATATTTGATATCAACAAAGCTTTCTAACTACCGTTCAAATTTAGAGATATTGAAAGATTTAATATGAAAAAAATATAATTATCTTGGTTCTAAAATGATTTAATTTTCTATATCCTTAAGCTATATACTACAATCAACTCCTATGAAGGAAATTGGACATTCACAAAATCCATTTAAACATTTACCATTGTTTTAACAATTTCTAATTTTAAATATTTTTCCTACTTTGCGCATTAATTTTTTTGCATTTGTTTCAATTCAAGAATTAATTCATTTTCATTTCCTTATGACACTATCCCTATATATGGATTGTTTGAATAGAGATAGTAGATTGAAAATAATTCCCTAATTTCTTTGGATGTAGGATTATTATCTAAAGTAATGACTTACGTTGAATTTTGATAATATGAATTTATATCATAAATGCATGCTAATCTATCTTTTATTTCTTATAGTACGTTTTGATTGAATGAATATTAAACAAAGTAATATTTGGTTTGGAATTACATAAAATTAGCAATGACTTTGTTGTATTAGATTATGGTGATAAATATAAGCGTAATTGCATTTCATTATCAATATGAGAAAGGTTAAGAGTTATATTTAATGTAAACATACTTTCCGTAGTAGTCAATTTCCATTATTAGAACTATTCTTAATCAGCAAGACAAAAAGAGAATAAGAAGATATATAACATAATTATATTTAATACTAGAAAATTTTTTGACAAAAAATGATATTCAAACATACCAAATTTAATTATTTAATGAAGAGAATTAGTTTTATTTTTCCATATTCCCCTTAAAGATCATAGCAATATCAACTTATTAAAGATGCAAAATGAAATGAATTTTAATGTTTATCCCTAAATATTTCTTATATTCTTCTCTGAATTAGGTATAAATTTTATATAAATTGAGGTTACTAATTAACGAGATTCATTTAATCTTTTAATATTTTGATTTTTGATCATGATCTCATATTAATTAGTTAAAATTCAAAATTTCTCTGCCCAAAGGATAACTTTAATGTTTTATCAATCTTTTTCTATATAAACATTATCAAATTTATAAGTGATTTTGACTTGTCTGTATTTTTTGACTCATTGCAAACTATTCCAAGACTCCAGATATAATAAAATGAAAATCAGAAGTCAAAAGAATTTAAGTATCTATAGCCTTAAAAGAATAATCTTAAAATTAACAATCTATAAGGCAAAAAGAGCCTTTTAATTGCAACTTCCTAAATTTATAAAATAATTTATTAATGATTAAATTTTACTAGTTGGTATGAAGTTCTAACATTTTCGATATTACATTTAAAATCAATAGAATTTTAATCAATTAAAAAGTTTAAATTAAAAAATTAACTATGCTCCAATTTTACAATATCATCAAAAAAAAAAAAAAACTAAGTAGAATAACTTCCTCTTTATTAAAATAAAATTTTTATGGAATTAAATTACCAAACTCATAAAATCTTTTTAAGCAAGACTCGTTACATTAAGTAAAATCTCCTAATGCTAATTTTTACATCAATTTATGAATTTGAATACTTATATTAGATTTATATAATTTCTAACAATATTACTCGAAATTTTAAGACTAACCCAATTAAATAATATTAATTAAAACACTAGTCAATTATGGAATATTATTGAATAATTAAAACTCTAAAGTTCCTTAAAGAAAATTATAAAAAGCATATATTAATAAATTTTTTTCACATAATTATTAAAATAATTTGTAAGGTCATAAGAATAAACCTATTTTAGAACTATCTACTTCAATGAAAATCTAAGTATTAATTTGATTATTAATAAAATAGGCAATAAAATTTTAACTATTAAATACTGATTAGGGAGTAATTTTATTTATAAATGATATATACTTTGATAATAATTGTTTACTTATGAACAAATTATGTGAAAATTGTTTAAGACAATCAGAATATATAACAAATCTAAGAGCTTAACTTTATTCAAAACAATAATAATTACTCAAGATTTAATAATAATTAGAAAAAATAAAGTAACAGTAAATGGATATAAAAAATGAAATGAAACCTAAACTAAAGGAAAAACTAATTTATGGAAAAACTTAAAATAAGTAATTGTTGAAATTACAGAATAAATAATAAACATTGCTACAAATATTGACTTATAAAAATTATATTCTAGACACTTTGGAAACGAAAGAAATTAAATATAATGATTTATCAAAAACCTGTGTTAACTGATTCTATATAGAAATTATCAGATAATCTTTTGCCTTAATTTTTTTATTGGTATTGTTTTTCGAGATGATTGAAAGAATATCGTTCCTTTATAGCTTTATTAAGTTTATTCAACTCTTCCTGCATGTTTGGTTTTGATTTAAGAAAATCTTAAGATTTGCAAGCCCTTTAATATTTATTTTTAATACCAATTTTTTTCAAGTGATTAAACTTTCACAGGCTTTGGTCTTCTAGATTTATATTAAGAAGGTATACTGTAAATTGAATAAGATTCATCAGATTGATCTAGATAGTATATTTGAAATGCTTACCTAATAATTCGAGGATGCCTTTCTCTAATTCTGATTTATTTGCATTTTTCTGATAAATCTATAGAATTTCTTAAGTTTTTTTGTCACCTTAAATTAGCAAATCTGTTAAATCAATAGGAAAAAGTTACCTTTTAGTTCTCCTTTTTATGATTAATTTATAATATTTCTTCTACACATTTCATACAATGTAAACAGATATTAACTTTCCTTACTAGAAGTAAACTACATGTATTTAAAAAATAAAGTAAATTTATAAATAATTTATAAACTGTTAATATACATAATCTAAAAATAATAGATATTCAATAATTAAATTTATAATAAACTAAGATATACTAATAATATTTGAGAGATATCAAGATTAAGATGAATTAAAAATATTAATTTATTATATATTTTCATAGTTTAGTTTTCATTAAATTGTAATAGTGTAGGAATAATATATAGTTCATTCCTTTCTCTCAAATTGTTTTAAAATTTAATTAAAATAAATATGATAATTAAAAATGATAGTTCATCTTTCTTGTAAAAATTTAAAAGTATCTAAATTATTAGTATTCAATAAATTTATTTACAAATTTTCATTTATCTAATAAATTAATGTTTTCATTTAATTAAATCTCTTGATTATACTATATAATATTAATAAATCATATAAAAGCACTTAATTATCCTTAAACAAAATATAATTAAAAATGGATAATTAAAGAGGTATTTAATATTATTTAGGTTTAGATAAGTAATAAAAAGTAGAATGTTCACCAATATCTGAATAAAATGACTATTAAGATACAACATAGAAGCGTGATTTCCCAGAATTACATTAATTGGTTAGAGAAAAAGAAGAATTGATCAAATGGTTGCTTAATCATTTATAAGTTGCTTAAAATTTATGCAATCAGATTGCATAAATCAAAGTAAAATAATTATTCAATATTTTAGAACTTAGACTCAAACAATAATTTTTAGAAATTAAAGCGCATTATTGATGAATCATTAAAAGAGGCAAAATGTTCAGGGTATTCTAAAGAGACCAGTGTTAATCCTTTTGATTCTCCTGCTAAATTTAATTATAATTAAGAGAATATTCATTTAGAGAATTCATATAAAAGTTAAAAACAGTTTGATATTTCAAATGTGGGTGTTGAAAAATATGAAAGAGAAAATACAAGCTAAAAATAAATCGATGAAATTCTTTTAATAAAGGGTAACCTAAAAAAATTATTTTAGGTAATATTAAAGCAAATTAAGAAAGTTCATAATAATAAGAATTTGATTAACCGCAAAATTAATAATAATTTAGTGATTCACCTGAAAATGAATTTTCTTCAGGATATTTTATCAATTCTTCAAAAGAGCAAAAGGTTAAGTAACAATTTTGTATTTTAAGAAAAAATACAAATGAATTATAAAAAGAACATCAAATATTAAAGTAAGATATTAAAAGTCTTAAATTAACTTAAAAATAATTCAATTAACAAGAGGTCAAACAACTTTAATTTTAATTTTAAAAATACTTAGCTTTCTAAATTAATTAGAAAATCAAACAAAAAATTACTTAAAAATTACAAACAGTTTACTTAGGAATGAAAGAATAGTTCTCAACTCTTTAATAAATGATAAATTTTTAAAATTAAGAATTAAGAAAAAAAATATAAATATTACAAACAGAATTTAAAGAAAAACTAAAAGAAATCATTGCTAATTAAAATTAATCTAATTTAATGAAAATACAGACATTATCATATAATTTATCAGAAATAAACAAGCAAAATGAAGAATTGTAAAAGAAAATTTAATTATATTAATTTGATGATTAAAAAGTTTACTCTTTATTGAAAAGATTCGAATAAAATTAAGATTAAGTTTCTTAAAATGGTAATTAAGCATTTTAAAAAATATCAATGGTAGAGGAGCTAAATTTATAAGTAACTTAGATAAAAAAAGCTGTTATGAAAGATTTTGAGAATTAAATTAAAAATTAAGAGTAAGTAATATAAAGATAAGAAATGATTATTACAAATTTAGAAAGTGAGAAAAAATAATTAAAAGAGTAATTAATATAAAATAATTCTTGCGATATTCTAAATGAGACTTTAAAAAAACTTTAAGAATAGGAAACAAAGAATTTTCAATTATCATCTTAAATTTACGATAAAGCAGACTAAATTACTCAATTAAAAGTTGAAATATAAAGTTTAAACAAATATATTTCCAGAAAATAAGATGAATTCACAAATTAATTAACTTTGGAACATGAAAATATAACTAAATAGCATTTAGAAGGATGTTTTAATTTATAATAATAATCTATACTTTTTAGTTTTTTAGGTCTATAAATATTTCGATAATACATTATATCGGAAAACTCTGAACAAATTTAAATTAATAAAACGATGGAAAAATTAAATAAATTTAATTTATTATGCTAATAAAAAGAGAATTAAAAATTATAAGAAATTAATAAAATAAATGAACTCTACATAAATTAATAAAACTAATTAAAGGAAATTTATGATGAAACTCTATTACAATTCAAATAATTATTAAGTAATATAAAAGATAGAAGAATGAAAGCCCAATGATTTATTTTTTGTTTTTTATTTGTTATTGGTTTTTTTATTATTACATAATCTGTATTATATTATAAATTATGTAATAAAATTCTTCCTTTGATGGTAAAGTTGGGATGGAAATTGAAAATTAAACAGAATTTCTGGAATAATCTAAAGATTCTACTTCTAAATAGAAAATATATTTATATCAAACACCTCCAAAATAAGAAGATTTAAAAATTGAAAAGGAGATGGAAGATGTTTAATCATCACCACACTTTAAAAAAGAATAGAAAAATTAGACAAACTTACCTGAATTTAATTTGAGTATAAATTTTAAATATGGAAAGTATCTGGAAAAAAAAACGCAACAAAGGAAAATTAAGATTAATTTCAAAAAAATATTCAAAATTTTTCAGAAGGTTAAGAACAATTTACTCCAAATAAAATTGAATTCCTTTTTTAAGGGTTGAATAATTTATTAGCACAAGCTTAAGAAAGAATTTAAAATCAATCTTAGATCTCTCTTTGTACAAATGATTTAAGTTAATGCTATGGAACGTATAGTGAAATTAAACAATAAATATCTGAAATTGAAAAAGTTTATAGATGTATTTATTATTCAATAATCAAAAATAGATAAAGATGATGAACTTTTTCAATTAAATATTTAATTAGAAAAAGAATTCAATATTTGTAAGAATTAAAAAATTATAGATTCTGCAACAAATTCTTAAATGAATTAATCTTTTGATATTCATAAAAGATATCAATAAATTTAAGAAATAAAAAAAAACAAACTTTATATATTTAAGAAAAAATATCAAGAAAATTATAATCAATTAAGATAAGACTTTAATGATTTGAAGAATCTAACTAAGGAGATGTTTTAAATAATCTCCTTTAATATACAAGAATGTAAAATGAAATTTAATCAAAAAATTGAAACAAAATCTTAAAAAATTGAGAAAAGTCTATTTATTGATTATTAAAGTGATAAATTAGAAGAAGATTATTAACAAAAATCTTCTTAATAAAGAGATGATGAACATATAGATAATTTTATATAAGAATTAATGAAATTATTAAATATTAGTAAAGAAGATTATGAAAATATTGAGGATTTAAAATTATAGATTGTAAATAATGTAAAAGAATAAAAAAACTATCTAGAAATAATTTAGACCAATTAAAATTTAAGTGTGAATTAAAAAATTATAAAGTTAAATACTACTAAAGATGAATTACAGAATGAATTAGTATAGTTAAATTAACAAAAGGAATAATAATAAAAGATTTTGGATTAAAATAGAATAGAAATATAAAATCTTTAATAAAAATTAGAATAACTAGAAAAAAGGGATTACATAGATCTAAACACTAAGTTATTCTAACATGAATAGATTTAAATGGAATAATAATAATAATTAATTTCAATATCTTTAATAATAATCTAATAATTATTTTAATCGACTTCTTTTGAATCAAGTTTAAAAAAAACCTTTAGTGAAAAAAATTAATATTTAAATACTTATTTTAAGGAAGCCAAAAAAATAATATATGAAAAGAGTTGGCCAAATGAGGTTAACCCTTTAAAATATTTATAACTTCATTAATAAAAAGTTTAAGAGATAATGAATATCTTTTATACAGAATATAGTAAAATGATTAGTTGGATTTAATAATAAAGAGAAAATTTGATAAAATAGCTATGATGTTGTTTTATATTGTATATATTATTATTAAATAATCTCATTACTCTGTATTAACATTCTATTAAGTGTCTCCTTACCTCTATTATCTGTTTCTATTTCCACCTCTTTAAGATTTCTATTAAGGCTTTTTTTATCTAAATATATAGAAATATAATAAACTTGCGTTCAATGGTAATATATTCTTCATCTGAACTGTTTTCATTTTAAGGTTCATTATCTTATTATTATTCTACAACTTCCTTCTTTTCTTACCATTCTTCCTTTTATTATCTATCTCTATTATGATGTTGTCTATTTCCTCTATAACGTCTATTTTTATAATCTTCTCCATTGTTTCTTCTATCATAATTTTTATCTTGATGATAATTCTTTTTATAGCCTTTTCTTTAATTATCATATTATTAATGTTATCTATGTTCCCTTGTTTAATGAGTTTAATCTTAATTATCTTTTGTATCTTATTTATCTTTATTATCAGGTTCTTATGGGGATTCTTATGGTTGATTTGTATTTGATTCTAAATTGGAAATTTCTTACTATTAAGTATCATTTGAATGTTAAAGAGGTTATTATTCTTATGTTTGATGAACTTAAGTTCTAGTTTCTTCTTAGAATGATTTTTTTGGACTAGATTTAATTAATACATATTATTCATGTTATTAGGGCTATTCTTATTATGTTTCAATAATTTCTTAAACCTATGGTGCTTCTTGTTGTTATGTTTAAATTTCTTAAATTTCTTATTGTTATGGTTCTGATTGCACTTAATGTTTCAACTAAATTAAAATTTTAATTATTTACATTCAAACCCTTCCATGATTAATCTTTCTTTTTCAATTGTCCATTCACTTTATTTTAAAGTAGTTTAGCAAGTTCATAAATCGAATTATGATCTTAAGATAAAAGAGAAACAGTGTCTTGATTTTCAGATAAATGTTCTAAAATGAGGATGAATGCTTCTTAAGTAATAAGGGTTCCACTTTGTTCTGCTTCTTTCTTTGCTTATAGCCAATTTGTTAGCTAGACTTCTAATTCCTTTAATTTTTCATTATTTTCTTCTTTGCTTTATATCTTTTGAACTTATTCTGGTTTCAAATCCTTTGTCTTTGATATTTCTTCTAAATCAGCTATGTCTTTTAGTTTCTTTTAGAGATTTCTTTATTTTTTAGACAAGTAATTGAAATAGAAATCTTTTTCTTCATTTTTAACTTGATCCCAAATTGACTATTTCTTTTATTGTTTGGCTCCTTTCATAAATATGTATTTTTTAAAAATATTTAAATAAAAAGTCGTACTTATATATTATTATATGTTTCTATTTATATAATTGCCTCAATTTCTAATTAAGTCATGTCTTTTCTATTCCATATTCATTTTTATTCTTAAACAATAATAATAATGGAAAGCTATGAATAAGATATTAATTAATATTTTTTTTATCTTTTTTTTGTATTAGATTTCTTATATGTATTAATATAAATTAGAAATAGAAATGATTAATTGAATGGAAATAGATTTCACAATCAGAGGAAACCTTTACTGCTTCCTCAAATTGATTTAGATTTATTATGATCCAGTCTTTCAGCAATTTTTCACATAAAATCATATGATTATTGTTTTGTCAGAAGACCTGAAGAATAAATTTAGAAGTACAAAGTACAAAAAAATAAATTGAATAATTTTGAATAGAAGTATGAATTTATTAAGAAATAATGAATAATAAAATTTATTTTATATAATAATTATTATTATTTTAAATAAGATTTAGATCATATATGTTTAGTTATTTTTTAATTCTTTAATATAAGTATCTAATCATTAGGTTTATAATTATTTTTTATCAAAATTATTATATATTTATGTAGATATTTAAGTTTATTACTCAAAGTAAGATTTGAAAAAGTAAGAGTAGTGGGCAATTTGAAATAGATAATGATATTATATAATTAAATTTGGATGAATAATATATTTAAGTATTTTGTTAATATAATTATGAATGTATAAATGAAAAAATTGCTGAAGACAAATAAAGATCTAGGCAATCAATATTTAGACTTTACATAATTGTTTGAAAAGAAACTCAAACAACCAACAATAAATAATGATAGCAAGAAGGAATTAATTGAATAATATAGACAACGCAATTTCAAACATGAACCTTAACCGTTCTATGAATCATCAGAAATAATAGTTTATGGATCTTTTGAGAATTCAAACATAATGGCTGTGTAATAAGAAGGCAATGAATTGAATATATTGTTAAATGGAGACACTAATACAAATGGATGTACACAATGGTTTTATTTTGGGATAATGGTAAAATAGCCTTAATAATTGACATTTCGAATTCTGAACAATCGTAGAGGCAAATCCCTATTGAAAGAATACAACCACATTCGAGTATATGATAATAATAAATGGAATTGTGAGACTACTAAAGAATTGTATTATTACAGAACAAATATCAATCATCCATTTTATCATTCTTCGGATTCTTCTATTGCAAATTTGTAGCAGAATTTTCCATTACATACTTTACAATTTAATTATAATTTTACCTAAAATAAAAGCATAGTGTACTTTGCATTGACTTTACCATACACAGTCAGTAATTTATATCATCTAGTTTATCATTCAAGTCTAAAACATAAGGTATTATGTAGCACTTCTTTGGGATTACCAATATTTAAATTAAAAACTAAACATAAAAGTAAAGTATATTTTTATATTGTAATTTTTAGCTTCTGAAGTAGTGATCATATTGGCACGATAACATCCAAGTGAGTCTGTTGGTTCACATATTTGTGAAGAGATAATTAAATTATTAGATTGTGGTCATTAAGTTTAAAATAAATATAGATGTGTAATATTTCCTATGTTAAATCCGGATGGTGTGTTTCTAGGTAATTCTAGGTGTAATTTTAATGGAATCGATTTGAATAGGTAAAACCAATTATAATCTTTATCCATAGAAAATGGGATATGCCTAATTAAACTACTGAGCCAGAAATTTATAATGTAGTCAAACATATCAAAAAGTATAAAGTAGCATTTCTTATTGATTTACATGGACATTCTAAAAAATTATGTTAATTTCTATATGGTTGTGCTACTCAAATTAAACATATTTCAGATTATATGAGAGTTAAATAATTTAGCAGATTATTACAATAAGGATGTGATCTTTTTAGTTATAATGTAATTTATTTTTATTAAATATTAGAATTGTTCATTTAGTGTTACACCAGATAGAGTGAGTACTGCTAGAGTTGCTATGTGGAAAAAGTTTTAAATTGCTAATTCAATGACAATTGAAACATCTTTATATGGAGTATCAAAGAAACCTTTCGAAAAAGAAGAGTTTCAACTATTGGCTCTAAATATTTTAAATGCTCTTTTCAAATATGATGAATATTAATCTGATCCTCATTTATATGATGCTTAAGAAATTAATTAAGCCATTAAATTAATAAAAAAAGATGGAATTGATGATAAAGAATCTGGATCTGATTCTGATGCAGAATAAGATATTATAGTTACCAGAAATCCTAGATTAAAAGTTACTTCTAGAAGAGATTCAACTCCTTTAATGGTTAAAAGTAAACCTAAATAATAATCAGAAACACCTATTCAATAACCTACACTTTTCTTTAAGAATGAATAAACTTATAGTTTCAAGAAAATACCTTCATATTAAATGAAAAGAAAAGTGTAAAATTATTTATTTAATTTAGTTCTCGAATGAATTCTTTTCAGAGTCAAATTATTGATGAACCATTAAATGCATAATTACCTACTATCTATAATATTCCAAATAAGTAATATAAAGGTACTCTTGATCTGATATAAGCTATACAAGTTAAATCGCTTTCTAGATAATAGTGATATAATTATTATTTAATAATTTAATAACTTAATTATCTACAACATAAACTCTATTCTCAAACATTTTTATACCTAAAAAATATACTATATTTTTATACAAAAAAGATTTATCTATATTTTTATTTTTAATATTATTTTTCTTATTTATCATTTTAATTTAATAATTATAAGGTAACTAAGAATTAGATTATCTAAATTAACTTTTTGTTTCACTTATTCGAATTTCTTAGTTTCACTTTGAATTATGATGATGATTCATCTATAAATTCAATAAAAAATGACTACTATTAATTTAGATAATTAGTATGAACTATTTTTATTTAAAAATAGCTAATAATTTATAAATGATCATAAATCATCTAAATTAAAAGTTGGTTGAACAATGTCGTCTTCCTCAAAAAACATGAGTTTGATTCTATTACTATTTTACATTTCATCCTCTAAGTTCTAATTAGTTTCTTCATATTAAATTGTTGCTGGTGTTCCTTAGTTAGAATTGTTAATTATTTTGCTTGATTTTCTCTAAATTTGAGGGGATTAAGGATTGAATTTTTAATGATGAGATCTAATTATTTTTACAAAGTACCTGCATTAACTTGGAGAACGAGTTCCAATGATTTCTGACATAGGTTTAAAAATTTTATTGTTTTTCTTCATATAAGAATTATCTTCCAAAAATTAAAGATATTTTTCATGTTCATCTTTGGTCCAATGTCCAATATTTTTTTTAGGTGAAAGAGAATCCATTTTTTTGATTTTTTTAGATTTAGGAGATCTTGTAGAAATGAGTTCATTATTGAAACTGTCTCTTTAGTTGTTTTCCTCTTCCATTCAGACAACCCTTTTGATTATTTATTTAAAAAAATAAATATTTTGTTTTTACTTTATTATATAGTTCATTTTCTTAATGAATTCTCTACTCTATTACATGTTTAATCAATTAGATTAATAATAGTTTCTTCAGTAGCTTCTCTCTCATTTTTTTCAGCATTTAATTCACCATTCAAATATGAATTCATTTCATCTAACATTCTAAACATCTAAGCTTAAGCAACTTCTCTTTATTTCTTCTCAGTTGTTAGGATTTCTTATAATTTTAATATTGAATCTCCTAATCTTTTGATAGTTTATTAGTTTTATTCTTCTCTAAGTTATATTAATTAATAGATATACCTTTATCTTCTTTCTTCTTCTACTTCTTCTTATAGTTATAGAACTCTATCTCCAATTTCTTAAGCATTCTTTTCTTCTGTTTCTTCTCTATACTTTTTTTATCTAGCCAAATCCAATCTTAAACTATAAACTCTATCGTCAGTATTTTTTATGATCTTTTATTCATAATCTTTTCTATTCACTTTCTCTACTTATAATTCTTTGTTCAAATAACCTTCCAAACCCTTTAAATCTTTTGTTCTTAATTTTTCATCACCACTCTATTGATTTTTTATAATAAATATACCTCTCTAATTATTTTTTCATTTTATGCTCCCTCTTCAACTTTTGATATTTATTCCTTCAGTAACTTGAATTTAGATTCATCGCTCTATTATTGTTTAGTAACTTTATCCTCTAAAATCTTGACTTTCTACTCAAATGTTTCTTTCTTAAACTATATAAAAATGATAAATATAAGAATATACTGCTTAGTCTTCATTAATAGAATGTTAAAGATTAGAAAGCTTTTCTGTTAATTAGGATATCTTTGCTCTGCTTGGAGAAAGTGCCCTATCTCTATCACCACCATATGAAACAGCAGATTAACTCTTAGGTCCAGGAGAGGAGTACATCAATTTAGAAGCTGACATTGTTTGATAATATTTTATGATAAATTTATTTCTGTATATTTTTTTAATTTTATTTTGAGTTATCAAGACTTATCAACAACCTATTATTGTATAATTAGAATTAATAAGGATTTATTAAGACTCATATAATATAATAAACATAATTTTTGTTAGCTTTTTTATAATTTATTATTTTTTATTACCTTTATATGTAGAGAAAAGATATTTCATATTTTATAATAACAACCAAAAATTTTAATCATCAAACTAATCAAAGCTCTTGATATAATTAGTATTGCTATCTCTTTTAAACTTAATCAATTTAGTTAAATGGATTTTCAATTTATTTCTAAGGTTCTTAAATATATTTTTATATAGCAATCTCAAATTATTAAGTTTCACTCCGTAACTATTATTTTACACAATCAGGAAGATTAGCTACTTCAGATTAAAATAACTTGAGAATCTCAGTACAACTTTTTATACTATATGGATCATAGTATGATAATGCTTCCTTCATTTAACTTCTTGACTTTAATTTATATTTTTGAACTATAACAGCTTCATCTATGATACCACTCATCTAATTTAAAAAATAAATTGGAATAGTGTATTTTTATTCATAATTTGTATTTAACTATTAAAAAGATACTTCAACATCACAAATTTAACCTGCTTCAAACTCTTTATTATTCCTTACACTCACCAGATGAGTTTTATTATATCCAATAGATACTAATTTCTTTTTGATCTATATTTCATAAGAATTAATATAATGGTATTTTCCACCTTCACATTCAGATATTTAAATTTAATTTTTTTTCTATGATTTTACTATAATTAATAAATTAGTTATAACTGTTTATTAGAGTTTAGCTGCTTCAAAACATAAATAAGAAGATAAATCATCCACATTTTTTATTATTTAATGTTTTCCAATTTTTAAATTTTCTCTCTGATTTATCTAAGATGACTAAAATAAATTATTCTAAATCAAAAGAAAACATTTCAATTTAAACGATTTTTCAATTTAAAACAATTATTCAAATTCAGAGCAATATCTTCCTATATCATACTCTTAACTAATTATATTAATAGAAGTAATTTAATTTTTAAATTATCTTAATTTCAAGCATAAGTTAGCAACCAAAAGGGCACTCAAAATACTTGGATGACCTTTTTTATTTGTTATCTATTCGATTTTTTCAAAAATTATCTATTTATTTTGTTGATTAAGTGGAATTAATGGAAATAGTTAATCAGCTTTATTATTATAAAGAATTATGCATAATCTGTCTCTATCACTTAAATAATTAACTAAGCATTTTAAAGCACATTTGATTTTTTCTAATGTTTCATCATTTAATGATAGACTTATATCAATTAAATAAATTAAGTCAACCCCAATTAAAAAATCAGGTTATTTCGGAAAATTTTTCTTAATTTCGAAAATAAATGACTTATTATCTTAGTAACCATACTTAATATCAATTAGATCAGTAAATTGATATTTTTATATGCATTATTTTGGAACTTCATCATCAGGAATATTATGTTGATATTTTTATTAAATATCATTGTTTATAGAGGCGAAGCTTAAGTAATTCCTGTTAAATTAGATCATTTATATAAATTATAATTAAAAGCAGAAGAAATAAGATAAAAATATTTATGGAAGGAGGTTACAAATTAAATAAAATAAATAAAGAATAAGAATACATTTTTTATACACATAATAAAATTTCTCTAATTTTAGCTATTTGATAAATTTAGAGAAGAATTAAGAATGTAAGATTTATAAAAAAATATATAATTTATAAAGTCATCAAATTAAATAAATTAGTGTAAGCAAAATGATTATTGTTGTGTGTTGATTAAAAATTAAAATTATCACTCTTCATCATGATAGAATATAAAAAAATGTAGTATAAATTTGAACAAAGTTTATTAGGATAAAGGAATTTTTTGTATTTAATTTTCTAGATAATAAAACTTCATAAAATTTTACTAATATATATCCTATTCAAGTTAATCAAGCTTGCATTGTATTTATAAATATAGATTTAGATAATTTCTTAAAGATAATTTTATCTGCTCAATTAAGCCCAAATTATTTGTAAAATTTGTAACTCTCTAAAATAATTTTATTTCATAACTACCTTAAATTATAATTATATTAGTATAATAATAGAAAAAATATATTTCTACGATTCATAATATCGATCAAAATATCTTTAAAATTTAACTTTAACAATTAGTGATTTAGTTATGGTAAATAAATATTAATTAAAATTCATCATTGAAATTTGATAAATCTTGAAATCATTGAAGAATAAAATTCCTTAAAAGAATAAGAATCTTATAGGTTTGTCATTTTTAGTGATAAATAAATTGATATTGGTAATTAAAAGGAAAAAAATAAAAATTGAAACATTTTTGAAATTAAAAAGAGGATGCTGTTTTCTTAAAAAAAGTCTGTTTTTTAACTTGTAAAGTTACTTCATCAATTTAATGAAAATATATCAATTATAGAGAAAAATAAAAAGGAAAGGAAATTAGAAATTATTTTAATAGAGTTTAAGTAAGACTATTAAATATGATTAGATAGTAAGAAATAATAAAGAAAATGCTATTATTAACAGTTGCATAAATGAGAGAATAGTAAAGGAAGTTAAAATATATTGAGAATATGGAATTAAAAGTTTTATAAAAAAATTATAATTATTTATTAATGTCACAAGAGTCGTAAACAAGTTTGTTGGGAAATTTAAGAAAAGTAATTACATTAGTTGATTAATTACGTGATATTGGATTGAATGATTATATAAAATTGCCTCGAATAGTTGTTTTAGGTATATAATCAGCAGGAAAATCATCATTATTGGAACATATTGTAGGAATAGATTTTTTACCAAGAGGATCGGTAAAACTTAAATATGATAAATAGGGAGTTGTCACAAGAAGACCATTGGAATTACGTTTATCTTACTGTCCTAAAAATGTATGTACATAACCAACAGCAGAATTTGTAGAAGAAATGAAAGGAAAGAAATTTACAAATTTTGATGAGGTAAGAAAGAATATAGAATAATTAACAGATAAGGTATGTGGAACAAGTAAAAATATTATTGACAAACCAATAATATTAGCAGTAACAGGGCCAAATTGTCCAGATTTAACTCTTGTTGGTAAAGATATAAGAATATATGTAAAATTATAGACTTACCTGGGATAACAAGAATACCTATAATGGATTAACCAAAAGATATTGAATAAATAACAACTAATATGGCTAAGAGATATTGTGAAGATCCTTCAGCTATTATTTTGTGTGTTGTTGCAGCCAATGCTGATATGACAACATCAGATGCATTATTATTGGCTAAGAAATTAGATCCTGATGGTATTAGAACTGTTGGAGTTTTAACTAAAATTGATATTATGGATTAGGGAACTAATGCTATCAAAATGCTAAAAGGAGAAGAAGTACCTCTTAAATATGGATATGTTGGAGTTAAATTGAGATCGCAATAAGAAATTAAAGATAATATTCCAATTGTTTAAGCTGTCCAAAGAGAAAAGAATTTCTTTGCTAATCATCCTATTTATTCTTCCATTCCTGGAGATATATTTGGTACTTAAGTCCTTACAGGTAAATTAACTAGAATTCTCTATCGAAGAATTAGAAGTTTCTTACCTACATTAATGTAAGAAATCAATTAGAGAATTTCTAAAGTCTAGAGTCGTCTTGATGTTCTAGGACCAGGGTTGCCTGTTGAGGATTCTGTAATTTTATTATATAACATTATTATAGGATAAATTACATTTCATTTGGTAACTTATACATGAATTCTCTGTTCGTTTTAGAAATTCTATATCAGGATAATATGAAAAACAAAGAGTTAATTACAAATCATTACAAGTACCAGCTGGATCATCAATTAAATTACTTTTCAAAGATTTATATGATGATTATAGTCAATTAGATTATTGTGCTCTTAAGAAATTTAAGGATGATGATATTCTTTAAGTCATTTAAAAATATTAAGCATAATCTATACCAGGCTTTTTACCTGTTGATGCATTTTATGCACTTTTGAATCCAGAATTAAAAAAATTATATTCACCTGCTTATGAAACTCTGGAATAAGCCTTTTAAATACTAGAATAATATGCTACCATTATTTTAGAAAGTTAATTATAATAGTATTTCTTATTCTATATATTAGATTACCCTCTGTTTATAAAATGCTCTCTTAATAAATTATGGATGTCATTCATGAATGCAAAAAAAATGCATATAATTCCATTACTGATATCCTTGATGCTGAACAAAACTATATATTCACTAATGATTTCAATTATCTAAGTGGCAAACCTTTTATTAAATTTGGTAAAGAATCTAAGGCAGACCAACAAAAAGGAAATCCTATGGTTCTAGAATTAAGAACTAAAATAGAACATTATTTCAAATTAGTTGTTAGAGCCACTAGAGACAACATTCCAAAACTTATTGGATACTTTTTAGTCAAAGGATGTTAAGTAATTTATTTTTTCATAATATAGAATTAAATGTTAAGATAATTGTAGTCAAACTTAATGGAAAATCAAAGCATCATCTCTATACTAACTGAAGATTAAAATGTTGTTGATGAAAGAAAAAAACTCAATAGAGAAATTGAAACATTCAAAAATGCTTAAAAAATCATTAAAAGAGATCCTGAGTATATATTAACATTTATTATTAATTAGCCTTTCAGAATATATTTTATCTGTTTCTGAAGAATAAGAAGATTAATAATTTATCTAAAAATAAAAATAATAATCAACTGATATTGTTACTTAATAGCCTAAACCATAAGTATAATCTATAAAATATATTATAGTAATAATAATAATAATAATAATAATAATAATAATAAGTTTAAATAAATAATAATTAAACTAATAAATTATAGATAAATAATCCTTAAATATCAGTCTAAAAAACTGATGTAGGTAAAGTTTAAGAACTACCTCCTTAAAGGCCAAATAACCCTGTTGTAAGTAAAACTACAACTTAATTACCTGATTCAACTAGACAATAACCAATCCCAACATAACCTTAGTAGAGATAACCTTAACCTTAAACTTAAAATAACTAATAACTAATAAAATTAATAAGCTTAATATCCATTGAATAATAATAATAGACAAACTGGGAATGCTCAACCTGTTACTTAATAACCAGCTCCTCCTCCTCCTGTAATTTATTAACTTTTTATTCTAGGCTTAATAATAATCATAACCATAAGCTTAATAACCACAACCAGAAAAAAAAGGTTTATTTGGCTTTATAAAAAAATGATTTAATTTTAGTCATTATAAATTATCAAAATATAATGGACTGCGAATATATTGTTTATATTATTAAATAAGTTTTTCAGATATTAAAATCTAGTCCTTAATAAGCAGACTTGACAAAAGGTCTTTATTTAGATTCTATTTTCTGATTTATTTTCAAATTTTCTTCCTCTATTTATTACTGATGTTACTCAGTTTTTATTCTTCGAGATTAATCTTATCCTTTGACAAAGATTTATTTAAAGAAAATAAAATTTTCTTCTTACATTTTTTACATTCCAATCATCTAATCTAATTTATTCAAGAGAATGTTTCTTTCCTAAATTTATCAGATATAATTGATACATCAGTGTTGCAATCTGTTTCTTATTTAAATTAAGTTAAATTTTCAAAGAGAAATTTATTTTATAATTCCAATTATTCAGATTTCTTTTTTAATAATTGAACTTAAACTACTAATTAATCTATTTTGCTTTCTAATTTTTTTTATTTAATCTAAGTTAATTAATTTCCTTTATACTCATCATTAGCTTATGTTTGATAATAATTTAATTTTTAAGTTTCATCACATTCAAATTGATTTTATAAATTATCAAATAAAGATTTTGAAGTTTAAGAATCAACTGATTTACTCCTCTAAGATAAATCTTCTTTTTATTAATTTCTTATTTTCTGATTATCGTATTTGGTAATATAAATATTGTTTTATTTCTTTTATGTCTTTTGTAATTCATCTTCAATTTCAACTTTATTTTATCTCTAGTCTCTGCTTAAATTGCTTAATTTTTCTTTGAATTCTTTTGTGGTTATTTATTATTGTTTTTATAATTTTATTATAGGAGGAGTAGGAAATTATTTCATAGAAGAAGATCCTTTTAATCCCATTAATTTTTAATCAATTGTATTTTGAATAAGTTGCAAAGCTGATGGGCATTCAGATAATCCACTTCTCTATGAGAAATAAACTTATTCATTCAAATTTCCATAAGAATTAAATTTCTTTTTAGTACTATTCTTCAAATTACCATTTTCATTCCTTTACTGTTATTGCGATAATAAAGCTTAAAAATCAACACTTTAATTTCTCTATTCCCTAGTTAATCTTTTGTATTCAGTATGATTCAAATTTTAATTTATTAGATTTGAAATAACATTAACTTAAGAGTGAGAATTTCTTTAAGGTGGTGAAGCAGATTTTTCTTTTTCTTTCTCTTTTTTTGGCGAGATAGACATTTAAACTTTAAATTACTTTTCATTTCCCTCTGTACGTATTCGAGTCTTAGAATTATTATGATTTAATGATTTAGATGGACCTGTGACTAATTTCTTGAGTACTTAGAGACCTTCTAATTTTTACATTAATTGAGTATTAGAATGTTTTTGATGTTATTTAGGATAGTTGTATTTTTATACTTCATTGTTTTTTATGTTGGATGATGTTTTTCTATGCAAATGGTTATTGATAGTATACATAATATAATTTATAACAGCTTAAAAAAATATAAATTATTGAAAAATGATGGGATTATTTGAATTAACAAAATACATTTTAAGATATTTGATGAGTATATATATTTAATATGATGTGAATATGTGATCATTAATTATTTAAATTAATGAATAATATTTAAGGGTATTCACTTTCAAAGCCATCAACTAAAACCACATAAGCACCAGGTGGTAATTCATCCATCACATTTGTATTTTTGAATTCATATTCAGGGCTCTGATGAGCCTGCTCCTCAATAAAAACGAGTTGTAAGAGATCCTAATGCTAGTCAATTCACTCTTGGAGGTGATCCTGTTCCTTAAAAAGGATAACAATAATAGCAAAAATAATAATAGGATTAAGGTTTTTTTTTTTTTATTTATTTTTTTTAGGGACTCATACTTCAGTCAAAGTTAAGAATCCACCTGGAGGTTAGTCATCAATATAATTTGGATGAAATATTAGTTAAATCAATAATTCATTTACATTTAACTCATCTTTCTTATTCTAACAAATTTACTCATTTCACTATAATATTAATAAATTAGTGATTGACTTAGTATTCTCATAATCATTTTGTTATTTAAATTAAATTTATGAATGACGGAAGAATACTATTCAGCTAATTTCAAGCGTTAGATTAATATAATAATAATATTTAATTCAGACCTTTAAAAATTAAAAAAGAATAATTCATAAGTTGTATTTCATATTATTTAAACAATCATAATATTTGCATTGGTCTTAGTTTTTTAAATTTACTTAACTTCACATTACTTTTCTCTTAATCTTTTTTATTTAGTATTTTTAAACTTTCTAATGGTATTTCCCCAATTTTATTCATATTTTTTATAATTCTTTATTAAATTTATAAAAGCTCTTTGTCATTTTAGTATGATTTATCAAAAGAAGCTTTAGCCCTGTCAATTTTTTAAATAAATTGTTTAAATTAATTTTTTATTTTATCCTAAGGTTCTTCTCTTTCTATGATTTAACTTATTTTTCTAGAATCACTTATAACAGGTTGACTTAAAAATGTTCTATGAGAATAGATTTTAGAAGTATTTGGAGATAATTATGGAAGTTTATTAGAACTTCTAGATGTTTCAGGATAAAATTAATGAAATGTAGTTCTTTATTCACTAATTTCTGACAGTTATTAAATAGGTTCTGTTAATTTTTTTGTTTTTTTAATATATCTTTGTGGTCCTTTTTTTTATTTATTATTATATAATTGCTTAGTTGTTTTTTCAAGTAGTGTAAGAACTTTTTCTGTTTATTCTTTAAATTGTTTAGCTTATTAAGCAATCAATTCATCCATTTTTTCTTTTTCTTAAATATTTTCTTCTATTTATTTTTAAGGTAGTTTAATCATTTACATAGATTTTTTGCAATTTTTTCGTTCCTACTCATATTTATTTTGTAATGCTAATTATTCTTATTTAGTTTTAAGATCAACAAATAGTTAATCGATAACATTATAAAATTTATCATCCTCTGTTTTAAGTTCTTCAATTTCATTTTTAGGTGTATTAATCTAATCTTCTGATATTAAATATCCTTAGATATCAGGAGAATGTCTTATAATTGTACTTTTTTCAACAATTTATTTACTTTTTTATACTATTTAAGCATAATCAAATAAATCATCATCGTCACTATCTGAATCAATTTTTTTTAGAGTTTTTATCTTCTTCTTTTTTTCTGATTTAGTAATCTTTTGATTGCTTAAATGTTTGAGAAACAATTTAATATCAAGAAAAGTATCCATATTAGTAAAATCTTTAAATCTTCTGTCAAATAATTACTCCCTTGTAACTTTACTGATTCTCATTTTCTTTCTTTCTTATTGCAACACTTTACTGACATTTTAATTGAACAATCTATTTTCTTAATAAAATCAGTATGATTTACTTTCCATTTCATCAGTTTCATCTTGCGGAGTATTAGGGGAAGAGTCTTTTAACTTTCTTTTTTTGGCTAATTATTCTTTAACAAATTAATAGAAGTCTTATTCGAAGTTGTTCATTATAATTAATTAAAATGGCCGATATATAGTCATTAAAAGTAGCTTTTATTGAATTCATTGAAAAATTACTGCCATCAATATCTGATCCTATGTCTATTACTTAATAAAAATGCTAATTACTGATTAAATTGCTCAAAGACGAATGTAAAACAATAAAGGATGTTTGTTTATATATTTAAAACCTCAAAATAGGACATATGAAACCTTCTAGTTAAAATATAACAGAAGAAGACAAATTAAAATCTCCAATAAAAACAAAATAACCAGATCTTGAGTTATTTTAGACTGAAACTTATTTTAGATTAAGTAAAAAAATGCCTCCATATTAAACTAGATCTTCCTAACAAAGATTTAATAATAAAGAAATCAAGTTTAAAGAATGGTGAATTAAGAGATAAAAAACACAATGATTCATAAAGTGATGGATAAGCATAAGACAATTAAACTCCACTTAAATTAGGAATTGAAAAATTGAAAAGTATATATACATTCTTAAAAAAAGAGACACCAAAGACAACTTCTACATTAAATCTATTTTTTCAACAAGTAAAAGGGTTTTCAATAGTTTCAAAAGAATATATAATTGATGATATATAACACTGCATGAAAGAGTTTAGAAGACATACTAAAATTATGGGATGTATAGAACAAAGATCTTTTGAAGTCAATAGTGGAGAAATCACTGATGTTGATAAAAAAATGCATCATTAAAACTATACTTTTACTACTTACTCTAAACAATATGAATAATAAAAATCTTTTAAGAAAATGAGCATATTTGAACAAAAGAAAACCCATGAATTAAACACTAAAGCATAAAATAATGAATAATTAATGCTACAATAAAACACAACACCACCAAAAACAGATAATAATTCTTTTTAAAAAGATTAAGAATCTATAAATAAAGAATCTCAGTAAGCATTAACTAGTCGTACATATTAAACTTCTAAACCTTCTTTATATTCTTACAGAGTATAATAAAGAAGAAATGAACAATAAGGTTACTTAACTTCAAGAAATATTTCATCATAAGAATAAAACAATGAATAACTTAACAACAAAATTATATAAAATAATGAATTAGAAATATAATAATAAGATTCTAAATTCAAAGCTGCACCACTTTCTTAAGAATCAACTAGTAATTAAACATCTGAAATCATCAAATTAGGCACTATTCCTTCACCAAAATAGACATCTAAACGATCTATTAATGATACAATTTCTATAAATACACAAATAAGTTCTCTACCAGTATCACCTTTTCTAAATAATACTAAAATTACTTTTGAATCCACTCAATCACAAAATAATTCTCGGGAACAATCTACTAATGAAGAAATAAAAGTAGAGCAAAAATAAGAAGTTCCATAAAGAAATACTTATACAAGATTTAATTACACTTAATAAAGATTATAATATATTAGAGGAAATTTAGTTTAGAATAATTATAGAGGTTCAAATCATAATTGTGCAGATGATAAACCTACAGAACTTCGAATAGATATGAAATAATTGGATTAAGATTTTTGATTATAAATATTTATTTTAAATCATTAATAAGTAAAACTTTTTGAAAATTATTATTTTAGTCTTCCTTCTTCTATATTTACTTATTTGATAAGATGCTAAACATTAAGATAATTTTATGCATAATCTTCATTTTGAATATTTAAACTTGCCATAACAGGTTATTATTTGCTAACTGATGAAGAATTTGTTCTAAATTATCTTGCATAATTTGAATTCTGATTATGATAAATTAACAAATCCTTACTCTTCTTTAGAGCTGAATCAATGTAAGGATCATAGTAACTATAATTAGGCAATGAAGGTTTCTATGTTTGTTCTGCTCTCTTACTTGATTATGTTCTTTAAGAATTCTAACGTGATGATGCTTAAGGTCTATTAATAAGAGGTCTTGGTTCTGGTGTTAAAGAAAACTATTAAATTATGGGTTTTGTTCTAACTAAATTAGCTATTTTTATAGTTTAAGGTGTAGAATTAGAATTTGAATTAAATGTTCCTATTTTATTAATATTTTATTCTGGGCTTCTTTCTGTTTTTTAATCTGACTTTGATATTGTTTTTGCAGTATTTAATAACACTGGCTATTATGAACATTTGACATAAAAATGATCAGCTATTGTACCACTATCAAAAGAATTTATCATATTTAACACTTATGCATAGCTTGGTCTCTAAAATGAGTTATATGAAAGGAATTATATTATTATCTATTCAAATACTTAAGAATAGTTATATCTACTCATATTTTTGTAATTATTACTTTTAGATATATTATTTTAATTTTGTAACAGCGAAACCATATTAAAAAATACATTTTTCTGCATCATAAAAGTATTTAGGTTCTAAACCTGATATGCATACAACACAAATAATTCCTATTATAAATATATTTATTTTCTCTGAATCTAAATTTAACTATAAATTATTTATATATTTTACTTTATTTTAAGGTTCTTTTAATTCTTATAATTCTTCTGATGATAAATATTCTAATTCCCTAAGTCCTAATTTAACTTTTCTAAATGATGATATATTTTATGGTGTACAACTCAATTCTAATAATTTAATTTATCCAACATCTGTTATACGTATATTTTATGGGTGTAAATCAATATATTTCTATTTATTATTTTATAAATCGATTAATGTTTCACAAAGAGTTTTTATAAGATACCATAATTCTCCTTCAAAATACCTAAATTTTATTGTTTAATAATACGTTGTTCTTAATTTTCTTCGAATATCTAAATCTTTTTATAGATTTTTTTGTATATATTGAATTCCAATATGAACAATATTAAGAGTTCCGCAAAAATCTTTTACACTTGATTAGGAGCAATCGTATATTTAGGTTATATTAGGGTGCTTAAGCCTTTAACTTAGAATTTTATTTTGCAAGATTACTTTATCTATTGACATAAAAGCTCAGGTTTATTAGATTGTAATTTAATAACTGCCATGAGTTCAGAGCAATCTGTATTAGATTAATAGACAACAATATCTCCATATGCAGGATCTGTTTTATTAACTATAAATTTATAGTTATTGAGAAGTTGGTTTTATTTTTAGTTGTTGGAACCCATTTTTTTATTTAATTAATATATTCTATGCTAACATATACAGATTTTTGTCTTAAACTTGCAAAAATAATTAAAGATGAAAAAATTGAATCACAAACTTTGACAACTTTAGTTGAAGAAACAATTGATCAATTAGAAAAATCTTAAGCTCCTATTGAAACTTATGTATTTTGTTAATTATAACAAGAGGAAGAAATAATTGCAAAAGAATTATAATTTTACAGAAACGAATGCTTATATCTCAATAAACTAAGACTTACATTATAATTTTAAGTGAAGGTAATTAGATTATATAAGTAGTAATTGCAAAGATAATTATTAGAAGAAAAAGAAGCTAATATTGAATTAACAAATGTTCTCAAAACATAGAAACAAGAATAGTTATTGAATTAAACTAAAACTGAAGGGTTGAATAATATCACCCAAAGAAATGAATCTTATAAATTAAGTACAAGATAACATAAAGAATGTAATTAAATTTTTAATTGTTTTTTTATAAAGAATTTAGTGTTACTTAGAGATAACCATTAGTTCCTTAAACAACTAAATTGATGTAAGTAGCCCCTCATCTAACAATAGAGATTAAAAATATAAAAACTCCACTAATTGAACAATAAGACCCAAAAAATCTAAAGGAATTGTTTGATTAATGTGTTTAATAGCTTTATAGAGACAATTAAATGAGAGGAAATCACATTAAGAAAAATAAATAAATATGTAGCAGAGATCATTCAGGATAATTTTAATTATGTGAAGATGACAAAGATATTACTTTTTCGAAACTTGATATAAAAACTCTTACAGAAAAGTATTAAAATACAAACACAATGATTATAGATTTTTCTTAAATCCCCATTTCTTAAAAATGATTGAAGCATAAATTTTTGATATAAAATGTTGTAATAATAAGGCCTGTCTTTACAATTATAAGCAATCCTAAATATCGTCTGAACCTTAACATAATTAAAATGAAAGTAAATTACTTGAAATACCTAAAAAAATACCATAATTTCGAAAAGATCATAGAAGTAAAAGCGTTGGTAGAAAAGATGGTATTATATGATTGAATAATTTAATTAGATTTAAAACTTTAATACTAATATTTATTTGCAGATGTTTTACGATTAGAAAGAGAATTATGTGCAACTCCAAAATAAAATAAAAATAGATAGATTGAATTAAAGAGTTAATTAAAAGATGTACGTGAAAAACTATATTAACTATAATGCAAGATTTTAAATTGAATAGTTATCTAATTCTTTAAATTAATATAGAATTATATAACATCAAATCATATAGAATCTCGAATCTTTTGGTAATAATGTCTAATATTTTGATTTTACATTGCTTTGAGATCTTCTATTAAGAGCCATTAATGAGTACATAGCATTTGTCATATGATTTCTTGATAATAGCTCTTATTTTCGTTTTTCATTTTAAACAGTCTTTACTCTAATTATATTATTTAATACCTTCTTCTTGATAAATTTTGGAATCCTTTTTTTTTAATTCTTCCAAATCACTTGCATTACTTATTGTCATTAAAGTTGTGTCATTTGAATTAATCATACTGTTTAATATTTTTTGTCTTGAATTATTCATTATCAATAATTAATAAGGATATCGAACACCATTTTTTAAAACAGTCCTTTAATTAACAAGAAAATTATTATTTATTGTCTCACTTAACGTTTATTAAGTTTAGTTCTAAACACTTTTTGATTATCTTTAAAATGTTTAGGATACCTTGGGTTATACTGAATATTTATTTGTTATAGCAGATTATTTCTTTGACTTAAAAATTGAAAACTTTTATTAAATTTTATCAACAACCATTTAGTTTTCTTTTCTTGTATTTGATTACGAAGGAAATTCATAAAATGTTTCATCAACTGAAAAAGATTAATTTATTTATTTTTAGCCTTCTTTTGGAGAATTATATATTTCAGAAACAGTCTTATTTAATTTAGATACTGCAAATATATTCTATTCGATAGTATTATAATTTCTAATAAGATGAGGTACTCTAGAAAGAGTTCTTTGTGGATATTAAGCACTTGATAGTCTTGATTTAAGTATTTTAAGAGATTTTTTCTTTTACCATGATTCTGCTAACTAGCGAACTCTTGACATATCATCAATGTATTGCATTTTATAATTATTATTTTTGTTATTTTTTATTTAATAAAATTATGTTAATTTTAATTAAAACAAAATATTCTTGAATGATATTTATATACCCATTTTTATATGGAAAAGCTGTTAATTAATATAATCAAATTTAACAAAGGTCATTCAAGTCTTTAGAAATATATTATTCTAGATATTTGATTAATTATCTTCTAGTACAATTAATTTTAGATCTGCAAATTTTAGTTTCTAAGAGTTCATTTTAAAAATATAGATTGGCATATTCTCCTTTAATTATTAATTTCAATTAAGAGGCAAAAGGAGGAATAAGTCGTTCTTCAATCAAAACAGCTAATATTGCAATTTAATTTGAATCATGTCCAAAATATATACTAAAAAGATGATCTCCTTAAATTTATTTAATTATCCATTAAAATATTTCAGTTAATGCAGAAAAATGTTGAATAGATTTTGAATTATCAATATTATAAAACTTATAGATAAAAATCTAAAATAAAAATAAATAATTTACTTCATCTAAATATTTTTAAGCATTTAATGAAAAAACTGGCCTCTCAAATCCTTAATATCTATTACATTTATATCCTCCATAAAATGTTTTCATTTAATTGATAGTGATAGTTTCTTATTGAAGAAATGAATTTGAATTTTTCATCTCTGTAAATACTTCTTAAAACTCTGGCCTAAGTTTAAACTCTTGATTTTTTGACAAATATTCTTGGTTATTTAATATTTCTAATTCAATCTAATCTAATATAGGACACTATGATGAACTATGACCATGAAATAAAAAGTCTCTATCCATTTAAAACGTTTCAAAATCAAAATCAAAAGGACTTGTAAAATTCGACTATAGAATTTGTTTTAGAATTTTTTCATTTTTAGAATAGTTTGAAAAATAGTCTTAAAAAAAGTTTTTAAGAATTTCTGAAAAATTATTAGGACAAAGTCCCTAAATAAATGCAATGAATGAATGTATAACTCTTGGTTTTAAAGATGAAATGAAATTTAATTTTTAGTAAATACAATTTGCATTATCATCATAAAAATAATTAGTTTGATATGATTAACCTAATTATTAAAGTTATAAAAATCCTTTTTCAGTAAGATGACCAGGTTTATAGTTTTTCCATAATTCTTAATCTAATGGATTATATTTGTTAGGAGATCTAGCACCATGTCTAATAAATGTTATTTCTTTTTGTTAATGTTAAACATTAATAGCTTAAAAGATTACAAAATAAAGAGTGCCAACAATAAATAGTTATAGAATAGCCCAAGTTAGTTGAGATGTGAACATTTTATTATTTAAAATAATTTAATATATTTATTTCTCATGGATATAATCTAGATGATGTTCCTTCTTTAATAACTTCTGAACTTTCAATTACTCTTGATCCTCTTGTTCTTGATTAACTTGATTAAACTGTTGTTATTGTTGGTCCAACAACTTTCTTTTCAACTTTTACTTCCTTAACTTCTTTTACTCCTCCATTCTTTATTGAGTCAATTTCAGCTTAAACCATTATTAATGATTCTTAACAAGTATAATACTCTGTATTTAATTTCTTAAATCTGTTTTTCCAAACTTCAACATCCTTAAAAAATAATATTTTTAATATATACAGATCTTAATTTCGTTGTTTTTTCTTCTATCTCATAAGTTACAGAACTTTCAACTTCTTAGCATCTTCTTTCCCATTCTTAAATATCTTATTCTTTTTTATTTAATAATCCTGTTATTCTTTCAATTTCACTTCTAACATTATATAATTATTCCTAAATAAATTGATTTTTTTATTACTTCGATTATTTTAATTCTAGATTATAATCCTTATTATGATTGATCATTTCCACTTCTTAATTCAAATGTTTCCTAATCTTTCTATCGTAATTAATTTTAGGCTTATTGTAATTATAACTTTAATCTCTGTGATTCAAGTTCAAGTTCTTCCACCTATAATTTATCTTAAATTTATATTTACTCTAGTATTATCTATTACTTCAACTCTTTCTTTAACTGTCTTAACTTCAGGCTCTCTAGCTAATAATTCTGCAACCCTCTATCTTAAAAACAATAATTCTTCCTTGTAGGATTCACCATCTTCACATTCACATTCCTTCTCTTGTTATTATGGATAAGGAACTGGAACATACATAGGCATCATATAAGGTTATTAAGGAGGAGGTTGGCATTTTGGTCGACATTCATGATTATCAATCATTAATTAATAGCAACCATATTAATTATTTGAAAATTATGCTGATACAAATGAAGTCGACATGTAATTTCTTTTTCTATTATATCTTAGAGGAGCTTATTCAACTTCCACATTAGTTTTAATTACTTATGACTCTACTACTGTTGTGGTTTTCATATTTTATTTCAAATAAATTATATTTTAATATATTTTAAATATATATTAATCAATCATTTATTCTCAATAAATCTAAGTACATATTTAATTCAAGTATCATATCTATATTCTAAGATTAGAATTTATAAGATTTAATTAAGAATTTATTATTTCCAAGTCTAATGTCTCTATATTTATTGAAATTTAACTTCTAATTTTATGTATTCCTAAAATAGTTATTGATTAAAAAGAATCATATAAATGATGAAATTGATTAAACTAAAATTGTAGTTTTTGATATTCATACTTATACTCAAAAGAACTACTTTATAATTCTTTATATTAATTTTAATGAATTAACCAAAAGCGGATTTACTATCTGTCACACCCAGAATTCTATCTAGTCGCAATAGTTAACCTAGTAATGAATTATTTTAATACTAGATGAATAGTTATTAGATGATGCTGCCAGAAAACCTTCAATTTTATTCTCAAAATTAGATAAAGTTCAGATTTCAAATGAACCAAGTGACAGTGTTCAATCAAATGAATCAGAGGATAATCCAAGAAAATTTATGCAAGGATTTAAAAATAAAATATGGAAAGAAAGAGCATTAAATGTTATTGTGTTAGTAGCCAGATTTGTTACTTATTTATTGACAAACTCAGACAAATTTAAATTGAGATATTTAGAATTAAGATAATTCAAAGTTATAGGTGATCAAGCGGCAGACTATAATTACTATTTGACCAAGCGATTAATTCGAGCTAGATCAAAAAAACAATTTTGCGTAAATATGGCAAAGTAATTATGAGTTTCACGTCAAGATGTTTATGAAGAAGCTATTAAACTTTTTGAAAAGAGTTGGTATAAGTGTATAACCTATAACACCAGATCATACATTAAAATTACTTTGGGATCTTTTTGTATTTACAATTCTCATAATTAATATAATTTATATTCCATTAAAAATATCATTTGAAATTTAGGAATAAAGTACTGGAATAGACTTTTTCTTGGAAACCTTGCCATAATATGTGTTTATCTGTGAAATTTTATTAAATTTTAATGTTGCATATTATAGCAGAGGAGTTTTAGTCTTAAATTAAATTTAAATTGTAAAACACTATTTGAGAGGAAAATTTATTACTGATTTCATAGTTCTAATTCCATTTATGATTGGAAGATCAAATGTTCCTTACATTGAATTTGTATTATTATTTAGAATTTCAAGAGTAAAATTATTTATATTAAATAGATTATATTTATTTTTGAGAATCTAGTTGAAACATTGAACTTAAGAGTAAATTTTGCAGCTGTAATAGATTTAGTTTCATTGCTAGCCACATTTTTATTTGCTTCTCATTTAATTGCCTGTGTTTGGCATTTTATAGCAGTTTAAGAACATTTATTTTCTGATTCTAGTTTTACATGGGTAGATAAAGCTTAATTAGAAACTGATTGGTTAAGTAGATATATAACATCTTTTTATTGGGCTTGCATTACAACTTTAACTATTGGTTATGGAGATATAACACCTGTATTTAAATTTCTTATATTAAGGTAACTTAAATTGAAAAGTTGTTTGTTATCTTAGTAACATTATTAAGTTCAATAATATTTGGATATACAATTTCAAGTATTGGAGCTATTTTTGCTTAGATGTCAGAAAATAAAAATTATTTAAGGGATAAAATGACAATGATAGATTCTTTTATAAAAAGAAGAGGATTAAATAAAGATCTTTAAATTAAAGTTAAAAAATTTTTTGAATATTATTTAAAAACTTTAAAAAACACTGATTCTGAATGTGAAAAATTAATGGAGCATTTATCTGGAACTTTAATTAGGGAAGTTAAAATAGATTTTTATTAGTCTTTATTTAATTAATCAAAATTGTTTAGATAAAATTTTTCGGATGATTTTATTGCCAATCTTTGTTTTCTTGTTAAAGAATAGAGTTTTGTACCAGAAGAAGTTATTTTTTAAGAAGGTTAGTAAGTAGATAAATTATATTTTATATTAAAAGGAGAAGTGGAAGCTTATATAAGAAATAATAAATTAGTGAAAATTTATAAAAGAAAGCAAGCAATTGATGAAAAAGGTTTTATTTCATAAAATTGTGCTTAATTTACATCAAGGGCTATTAAATTTTCTAAATTGGCATATATATCTTTTGAAGATTTCTAAAGTTTATTAAAATAAAATAAAGAAGATTTAGAAAAATATTATAGAATAAAACATTAAATTTAATTTGGTGGAAGAATTAAATTTAGTGGATGTGAACTTTGTTTTCAGAATCATAGTTTTACAAAATGTCCATTTGTATTTTATACACCAAATAGTATAACATTATTTAAAAAGAAATCAAATATTGATATTTAGAAAAGATTATTTCTTTAAAGACAAAATACATAAAAACTACAAATAAATAAATCATTATTAAATTTAAGATAATTTTAAAGGAATATTTTAGAATATGGTAATTAGAACTACTTATATGCTGATTTACTTCCAGATAGTGAATTTTTTTCTGTAAATCGTGTAGATGAAATGAATTTAGGAGGAGATGGATAATCTTAATCAGAAGATTAAGAATCATCAAATTCTCCTGATAATTCTGGAACTTAATTAAAGCATTAATTATCATCTTAATCTTAAAAGGTAAATACGATGAAGCATTCATTATAAAAAGTTACTAATAAAATATTATAAGAACCTGGTATATCTTAAATGAGAATAAAGATTTCAAGGGGGACTAAAAAACAGACAATAAATGTTTAAAGTTAGAAAATTGTTAATGAATAAGAAGATTTAAAAGATACAAATTAAGATAGTAAATTAAATTTAAGTAGATAAAATAGTAAGTAAGTTTAAGAAACACCTCCACCATCATCTAGATTTATTTAACTTGAACCTTCATAAATTAAATTAATTGAATTAGAGATTGCTAGAGAGATTTTCAATAAACATGAATTTTAGATAGATATGCATTAAGATTTTGAATATTATGATTCTTAATTTAATTTGGCTACAATTATTAAAGATTTATTTACAAATAAAAGAAAAAGAATGTTATTTCAAATTAATAGAAAGCGGTAGAAAAAATAATTGTATTGTCTACCAAATAAAAAATTACCAAGCTAAAATAATATTAATAGTAGCGTTTATAATGTTGATAATGTGGATAATTGATAAATTGAATAATTATTTAGATTCATTCTTATTAAATATATATATATATATAATATTAAAAAATTAAACAAATTATTTTATACCTTTTATATAAATTTATGATACTCCTAATAAAATATTTTAATGATTTTTCATATATATATAAATTGAATTTTGAATATTAAATGAATAGAATATGATAAAGGAAGTAATTTTAGAAAATTTTAAATCTTATTATGGTGAACATCGAATAATTTGTGGATCACATTTCAACTCAATAATAGGTCCAAATGGATCAGGTAAATCTAATTTTATAGATGCAATATAATTTGTATTTGGAAAAAGAGCTACTTCTATGAGATGTAAGACTGTCTCATAATTGATATCAGCAGGAATGTCAGAATGTAGAGTTGAAGTTATATTTGATGGATTTAGTTTAAAAAGAACAATAAAAGGAAATACGACTGAAGTTTATATTGATAATGAACCAGTTAAGTAAAACAAATTACATTAATATTTGAAATCAAAGAATATAGATGCAACTAATAAATTCATAATCTTGTAAGGAGAAGTTGAATCTATTAGTATGATGAAACCAAAATCTGGAAATTTTGAATAGCCAGGATTATTAGAGTATATAGAAGAAGAATATTAGAAAGAGTAGATGGAAGAATCTTTTAGAAAGAAATAAATTGCTTAGAGTAGATATTTTGAATCTTAAGAAAAAGCTAATATTGCTTAACATACTTTAAATGAAATAAAGGGTATGGTTGATTTATCAGAATTTGTTAAAAGTGTTTATAGTAGAATTTTTAGGGTTTAATTATGTTAGATTGAAATCTTAAAAAAAGAATAAGTATTGATTTAATTAGAGGATGAAATAATGAATGAAAATGCAGAGATTCTTTTATAAACAGAATGTAGATAAAGATAAATGGATGATTTGAAAATTTTAAGAGGAGAAAAAGAAAGAATTGATTAAGAAATAAAGGATACTGAAAATTAATAGAAAATTATAAATTTAGAAATAAATTCAATAGTAAATAAATATGATTAAAATGAAGAATTAGAATGTTAATTAAATATAAATAAATTGCAAAAATAAATTGATGATTTAATTAAAGAAAAAGAACTTTTAGAATAAGATTAAAGAAAGTTTGAATAAATGATTCCAGAAAAATAAAATAAGGTTGATAAAATAGAAAAGGAAAAAAACATAGCAGAAACTCATTATAATAAATTGAAAACAGATCTTAAAGTAGAATCACGATTTTTAATGAAATAGAAAGAAGAATTAGAATAGAAGCTTAAACCATTTAATAAATAGATACATGATTTATAAATTTAATTAGAGAAATTATAATTAGAAAAAGAGAGAACAAGTAAGAGTCCTGATGAATTTTTGAATTAATTAGATTAATTTGATAAAAAAACATTTTAATTGTAAGTTCAAATAGAGTAAATAAATAGTTATATAGAGAGATAATTAGATTTGTAATCTTTAATAAGAGATTCAAAAGAAAAGACTATAAAAGAATTAAGTGATAAAAAATCAGATGAGAAAAGATTAACAAATGAGATAGCTTAGAAATAAGAAAGGTTGGATTAAAATAATGAAGATAGATAGGAAAAAAATTAATATTCAATAGTATTGCGGGCATTAATTAGAGCATCTTAAGCAGGTCAACTAAAAATTTGTGGAAGATTAGGAGATTTAGGAACAATTGATCCAAAATATGAATGTGCCATAACAACAGCTTGTCCTGGATTAGATGGTATTGTAGTTGAAAATGATTAAGATGCTGTAGATTGTATTAATTTTTTAAAGTAGAATTAAATTGGTAGAGCATTATTCATTCCAATTAATAAAGTACCTGAAAATGTTATATAATTTATGGAAAGACCTTTTAGACCATAAGATAAAACTTTAAGATTATTTGATTTAATTAATTTTAAAGATAATAAATATAGGAGTGTTTTCTATAATTTATTAAGAGATACTTTAGTTGTAGATAATATAGAAATTGCAAGAGATATTGGAATTGGATAAAGAAAAAGAGTAGTAACTTTAGATGGTAAATTAGTTGAATAAAGTGGAGTTATGTCTGGTGGTCCAGAATAAAGAAAAGGAGGAATGTCTAGTAAATTTTATGAAGAACTTTCTAATGATTAAAGAGAATAATTAATTAGAGATAGAAATATACTTAAAGAAAAATTAGACTCTACTAAATTTGAAATATTAGCACTTGAAAAAAAATTGAAAGAAACATTGTCTGATGAAGAAATGGTTAATTCTAAACATAAATAAAGATTAGTTGATAAAAATATGCTTTAAGAATAAATTAATGATAATAAAAAATAAATGGAAATTCTATAAATCTAGTATTAAGAATGCCATTATAATTAATAAAAAAATTAAGAAGTTAGAAAAGAGATTGAACTTCTTCAAAGGGAAATTGAAAAAATTCAAAATAAAACCTGTCTAGATTAATAAGATTTATAAGCTATTGATGATAAACTTAAAGAAATAGCTAATCAAGATCTTAATTCAGCAAAAGATATGTTTAGTAATTATACATAAACTTACGAAACTTATTAACAAGAATTATTAAAAGTTATTACATAAAAAACTATTACTGGTAAAAAAATTGTTTAAAATACTTAAAATATTCAATTAGAAACTGAAAATTTTGAAAAATTAAAAGATTAACTTAAAAGAATATAGGATAAGAAATATTAAGATAGTAACGTTGTTGAAGCTCATAAATAATAATTGCATAGATTATAAAGTTCATTAAATGTTATCAAAGCATAATAAGCAATACTCTCTAAATAAATAGATGATTTAGTCAAAACTATCACTTCCATTAATACAGTAATTGAAGAAACAGAAGATAAAAAATAAGCATATATTTTAAAAAAAAATATAGAAAAATAAGATTAAGAAAAAAATAGATCTAAATAAAAAGAATTGATTGAAGAACATAAAGAATATTTTCTAGCTTTTAATTCAGATTCTGGAAATCCTAATTTATTTTTCTAAATTAATCAAGAAAATATATTTTGTTAATAATTATTAACAGAGATTTAAAAAGTCAGAAATGAGTATTATTAAAAATTTAGAGAATTTTTTATACCAGCAGGAATAGAAGAATTTTTACCAGAATCTATTCCTAAAGATATTTAGCTTATAAAAGATGCTAATAAATTATTTACTAAATAACAAAATTTAATTGATATTTATACAGAATTAGGAACTTCTGATAATAAAAATAAAGATAAGAATTTGATGAAAATATTTATGGATAGATCTTTAGATTATGAAATAAAATTAAGAAGAGCAAAGGATGATGAAATCAATTTTTAACAAGAAAAATCTCGTAATGAAGATTTATTCTAAGATAGAAAAATTCAATTTGCAAAAACTTTAAAAAATGTTGAATTAAAATTATAAGAAATATATAAACACTTAAGTATGGGAGGAGAAGCTGAAATTAAAGTTATTGATGAATTAGAAATTTTTAAAGAGGGATTACAATTTATGGTTAAACCTCCAAATAAAACATGGAAATAGATTTCAAAATTATCAGGAGGTGAGAAAACATTAGCATCTTTAAGTTTGATGCTTGCTATCCATTTTTATAGACCAACTCCAATATATATACTAGATGAAATAGATGCAGCTTTAGATTTTAAAAATGTTAAAATAGTTGCAGAGTTTTTGGATAAAATTGATTCACAATTTATTATTGTTTCATTAAGAACCAATATGTTTGAAAAAGCTTCAAATCTAATTGGACTTTACATGAGAGATACTAACCATTCCACTGAAGTGATTTAATTAGAAGTTTGAAATTTATTAAATTTTATTATTATTATAAAGTAAAATTAATTTAAACTAAATTATTCTAAGTTATTTCTTAAATTTAATAGATAGAAATTTTATTACATTTTCTTTTAAATAAATAATATTTTATATTTTAAGATGCTAGATAATTTATAATATTATTTTATATTTTATTATTATTGATATTATTTATTTTCCATTTTAATCTAGTATTTTATATCTTTCTCTTAATTACAAATTTTCTTCTGACTATATACAAGGCATTTCTGACACTTTTGGCTAAATGCTAGCCATTCCTTGAAAACATTAAATTTCAGGTTTTCTCAGAGGATTCTTATAATTACATTTAATAACACTTTTCTTTTATTCAAAATTATTATATTACTCAATCAACTTTTTATTAATACGGTATTTAATCTAGATTAGAAATAATATATAGTGTACCTATAGAGTGATTCTAAAGCATAATTTAATTATTAGTTTTAATCAAATAAACTCTAAATTTAAATACAAATTAATAGTATAGAATATTTATTTATTTAGATATTAAAATATTATTTCAATGAATTTTTAATAACTCAGTTATAAATCCAATGCACAATCCATAAATTTACAAACAAACAAAAATTTTATCTAGTTTATTTAAATCGAAATTGTTTGTTTTATTTACTAAGTTATATTTTTTATAATTTCCTTTTTTTTCATAAAGTTCATTTTATTTTATTATTTTGGTTTCTTTATAAATTCAACTTTATTATATTAATGAATTACTTTAAGCTTTTTTATTTCATTTTAAAAATCTTATATTCTAAAATTAAGTACAATAATTAAAAATCGATTTTGAGTCAAAATAAATTTGTATTTTTATTCCTAGTAAAAATATTCTAACTTAAATCATCAATTTACAACAGAAAACAATTTCCTTGATCTCAAAAGATAATATAAAATCATCTCAACTTTTTCAATTTTAATAAATTAATAGAATGACGATTGATACACAATTCATAAATTTTTATAGCGAAATTTAGAAAAATAAAAAATGAGTAAGAGTTCTGAAGAATTTTTAAATTAGTTACATAAATTTAATAAGATAAATAGTTAAATTATAAGTAAAAATAATTATTATAAATGAGATAGTTTAATTTACAAGCTTTGATCTGAGATTAAACATAAAAAAAGATTGGTTGATACTAATATGCTTTAAGAATAAATTAATTAGAACAAAAATAAATGAAAATTCTAAAATCTAGTCTAAAGAATACCATTATAATCAATAAAAAATTAAGATGTAAGAAAAAGATATTGAACTTCTAGAATGGCAAAGTGAAAAAATTCAAAATAAAATCTGTTTTGATTATTAAAATTACAGCTTAGATGAAAGAGATGCAGTTTTAGATTTTTAAAATGTTAAAATAGTAGTAGTGTTTTTGGATAAATATGATTCACAATTTATTCTTGTTTCATTAGGAACCAACATATTTGAAAAAGCTTCAAATTTAATTGGATTTCATATGAAATATATACTAATCATTCCACTTGAAGTAATTCAATTATAAATTTGAAATGTTTATATTTTCTTATCATCAAGTAAAATTTTCTTTATTCAAATAGTTTCTTCATTTATTTATTAATATTAATAGATAAATGTTTTATTATATTTTATTTTGAATAAATAATATTTTAAATTTTAATTTTGTTGATAATTTATATAAAATCATCCATAAATATCCAATAAATCTAAATATTCAAAAGTTAATAATGCTTTCCTGTTTTCATAATTGACTAAATACATCATTGTTCCTTCCTATCCCATGTCAGTATCATCAAATGTTCCTAATAATTTTAAATAAAAAATTTACCTTTAATTGTATTAATAGCAGGATCTGTGAAATAATTACCAACTCCTTACACATCACTTACCATGTAATTAAAACTGCTAATAAAATAAGTATAATATGTAAATGATTATGCAAACTTATTTAATTCTAGTGTAGGATCTTCATGAATAAAACCATAATTATTATTATACTTAACGAATTCTCCTTTAAAAAATCTTTCAGCAATCCAAAAAGAATCTAAAATAAATATATTTATAATACTTTAATTTTCTTAAAGAATTAAGAAATCACTGTAAATTACAGATGGGATTTTTATTTGTTTTTCTTTCTCACGTGCTTTATCTTATAATTCATTAGTAAACCTTTTCATGAGTTTTTAACAAATCAGATGTGATTTGCATTCTTTTAAAGCATCATTTAAAGATTAATATGGTTTACTACCAATTGGTGTTTTGATAACATATAATTCTTCAGAATTTCCTTATAATTTTTTCATTAAAAATACATCCTTCATCATACCAAAGGCAAAAGGTTTTTCAGTTCTTAAACAATTCCAATTTCCTTCTTAAATAGTTGTAAAATCCTATGGACATTAAATTTTTTCTATCATTTCAATATTTCTATCAAATGCATCTTATTTAATTTCTACTCTTAAAACTGTAAATTTTGTATTAATTGTTTAAACATTTGGTTATTTTTCAAAATCATAAAAATTTCCTTATTTACAAAGTGCTTCCATTGCACCTTCTTTTTCTCTTACAACTTCTTACTAAATTGCTCCTTATTTAGATTTAGTTTAGTTTTTATTAGTCTAAGTAGCATTTTGTGATGCTTCTCCTATATATTAAGCCATGATTTTTGCCAATTCCGCTTGCGACTTATTATTTTATAAATCTTAGTAAAGAAATAGGTCTAATTTATTTTTTGATTAATATATTTTTTTTATTTCCTCATACATTGTTACAGTATATTTTGTAAAATTGAGTGCAATAAGAATAATATTTTTTTCAATCAATTCTTCGATAGCATCTTAAATATCATCATTTGGATAATTATCTGAACAACCTCCATTGTATCTTTTACCATGACATGGAGCATCACAAATTAAAATAGCTATTCTAAATCTGCTAGGCCAATTTAATTTACAAACTTATTTTATTGCTCCTCTTATATCTTCTGCTGCATCTCCTCCCCCTCCACATTTTACTGAATCAAACCATGTTTGGAGGGCGTTTGAATCCTTAGAAAATGCGTATTCATAATATTTTTAATTTTTTGATGCTTTTAATTCAGGTATATCTTAATAACAAACTGAAGCCCAATTTGTATCTCTATTTGTAGCTTGTTTTATTATTTACAAAGAACCTCTTACTGATTACTTGGTTTATTCTTTATATGATTCCATAGATCCAGTAACATCAACTATAAAACATACATCTAATTATCCAAATTCTCTTTTTGCATTCTACATTTATAAATTACCCTATTAAATTAATGTATCTTTTTTTTATTTATTATCTTTTTGCTATTATTCTTTTCTTATTTGATCTTATTTTAATTTTTCTTATCTTTCGTTTTCCCTCATTTCATTTTCTTTTCTAATTTATTCTTCCCCTAACCTTTTTTAATCTCTTAAAATATTTTGTTAATTCTCTAAATCTTTTAGTGCTTTGTCATTATTAATATTAACTTTTTTTCCCGTTTAAGCATCATTCAATAATTTTTTTAATTATTCAATTATTTTATTTAAGTTCTCAATTTCATTGTTTAATGATTATATTTCAAAATCTTTCTACTTACTTTCATCTGCTATTTTACTTTTTTCATAATTTGTTTTTTTTAGAGTTTCCATACCATTAATTATTTAACCTTCTAATTATCTTATTTTTTCTTCTTTCTCTTTAATTTTTTTTTACTATTTTGTAATCTCATCTCTAGCTTCCATAAAATATTAGTGTTCTTTATCGCTTTAGTTTTTTTCTTTTTAAACTTGTACTTGAGTTTCATCTAATTCTCCTTCTAAATTTTTAATTTTTTAATTATATTCTTCTTTAATTTTTTTTATATCCTCTTTTAATTTTTAGATTTGTTTTTCATACTCAAAAAGAATAGTTTAGTCAACTTAAGGGTTGTTGTTATTTTAAGGTATAGTTTTTCTAATCAAATTTTAATTCGTCAATTTTAAGTTTTCAATTTCTTCTTCTTATCGTTCCCTTTCTGCCTTATTTTTTTCAATTTCTTTTGAAATTTTATCTATTGTTTATTTTTAAGAATTAATCTATAATTATTATGTCCTATATGATTGATGTTTTTCTTATAAATCACTCTCTAATTATTCTTTATCTCTTTTTAATCCTTCAATTTATAAATTGAATTATTTTCTTAAAGTTTCCGTTCTTTCTTTATAATATTTTTCATTGTCTTCTAATTCTTGTTTCAATTAAGCAATTTCTGATAGATATTTTTTTTCTTAAATTTTTTGTTGATTTGTTTGGTTATTATTGGGAATTCCAGTCCCACCAATTCCATACGGTGAATAACCTGCTCCTGGTGACATCCCAAATGGTGCCGTTGAAATTCCATGCTACATACTAGGTGACCATCCTTAAGCCATCACCGGCATTGCTGGCAACATTCCAGGTGTTGCTTAAGTGCCTTGCTACATTACAGGTATTGTTTAAGGGCCTGGCTAATTAAATTACCATCCAGGTTGCATTCCTGGTTAAATTCCATTGATTCCCATTTACACTCCCGTCGTTCCGAATTACATTTCCTATGTTCCTTTAGAACCACTTGGAAAGTATTGAGGCGATTATTAATTTCCTGGATTTAAAGCCTCATTATTTTGATAAGTTTATTGAGGTTACTAATTAAAGCTCATTGGATTCATAATGCCACATTGTTGATTCATTGGATTCATAAGGCCTTATTGTTGATTCATAAAGTCTTATTGTTGATTCATAATGCCTTATTGTTGATTCATAAAGTCTTATTGTTGATTCATTGGATTCATAATGCCTTATTGTTGATTCATAAAGTCTTATTGTTGATTCATTGGATTCATACTGCCTTATTGTTGATTCATAAAGTCTTATTGTTGATTCATTGGATTCATAATGCCTTATTGTTGATTCATAAAGTCTTATTGTTGATTCATTGGATTCATAATGCCGTATTGTTGATTCATAATGCCTTATTGTTGATTCATTTGATTGTCGTACCCATATGAATTTTTTGCTAATAAAATTAAATTAATTTTACTTTTCTGTTGATCAAACTGACTATTTTAATCATATCCATATTGTTGCTGTGTTTAAACTAAATAATAAGAATATATAGTGTACTTTAATAATTCTAATTTAGCTCCTACATAATTTAATTATTAGTTTTTATTTCATAAACTCTTAAAAAATATGCATTTAATAGAATTACAAAATTTATTTTTTTAGATACTTAATTCAAAAATATTGAATAATTTATTTATAATTATGAATGTTTTTCCATAAATTTACAAATAAATTGAAACTTAATCAAATGAATCCAAATAAATTTCAGTTGAGTATTGAACAACCTAACTTTTATTTATTGAATTTCTTATTCTATAATTTGTTTAATTTTCCATAAATAGATCTACTTCAGCTTTAGAGTAGTTTTCTTAATCAATATCTTAAGATTACTATTCCGTAAGTCTCTTATAATATTATCAATTATTTTATACTATTTTATTCTCAAATAAAGAATAATAATTATAAAATAGATTTCGATATCAATTAAATTTTGATTAAATTAGTTTCACAATTTTCTTATGCTTTTAAAAAAAGATTTTTCATTGTTAGTAAAAATTATTTTAAGATAATAAAAAATAAATAAAAAAGAATTAATTAGCATTTTGAACAAATCTTTCATATTAGGTTTATCATAATTTGATATATTTTATAGAGTTTAGAATCAATATTTTGAAATTTCAATTTAATATTTTTCTTCAACTTGTTAAAATTTGTTTAATTTTGATTTATTTTAGAGAAATTTTATGATTATATTCAAACATTATTCTTAGTATTAATATATTATTATGTTAATTTTAAAATCGATTTATTAATTAAAAAGATATTTTTCATATATATAAAGCAATTTCTTTAAACCCAAAAGATGATATAAATATAATCTCAACTTTTTCAATTTTAATAAATCAATAGAATTTCTATATGAACAGAAACTTTATACTGGAGCAAATCGTTGAATAAAAGGAGCTTGTTTAAATGGTAGAAACTTTGACATCATGGATTTATAGAGTATTAAATATACCTATATTTAAATAAGTTGTGTGAATCAAATAATTTAAGATTGAAGACCACAGAGCTAGCAGCATAGTTAATTTAAATATGTTTTACTTAAAATTGTTGCAATTTATAAAACATTTAACTTATTGCCATAACCTCATTATTCATTTCTGTAAAGGTTTTTTATACATAAAAATATTTAGTATAACGAAAGCCAAAGCTTTATTTAGTTTAATTTGCAAGATTGTATTCTTTTAGGAAATAGTATTTACTAGGAGAAAGACTTTCTTGAAATGGAATTGTAAATTTTGAATCTTGTCAAATTTGATGTAAATCTCTCTACTATTTCTGACTTTCTTTAAGAAGAATAAACAAAATATATTGATTTAGTATTATTTGTAACATTGGACTCAGAATTTTGGTCTTTCTCAAAATTCGATTTATTTGAGGCCATTTTATAATTTAATAATCATCATAAACAGGGTTAAAATGAGACAACAAATAAAGTATGTTATTCTTATTATATAGATCATAAATTTAATTCAAACCAAAGTCAATTTGTTAACTGCTAAAGAAAATGACTAAAAAAATAACTTTGAGTGTAAAACCAAAAGTATTCAAAAATGGAAATTTAAAAGTAAAAATAATTCCAAAAACCGTAATTTAAAAAGTCTTAACAAAAAAAAAAACAATTTCCAAATGTGATTTTTATCTGAAATTGGTTATAAAATACCATAAAAAAGTTCTAAAAAAATATAAATAAATATTAATCATCTATTTGCAATGAGTGATCAATTCAAAAATGATATTGAAAGAATCTAGAAACTAATTGTTTCAATTAAATCTGATATGAATAAAAGAGAACAAAAATAAAAAGCTGGATATAGTGTAAATTAATTTGATACTATAATAAATAACTATGATTGAGGAGGAAATAAGAGAAATGTTATTTTTAAATTTGAGAAGATTTGCTTCAAGTAATTTTATTTTTTTATAATTACATATAAAGGATTCCTATGATTAGAAAATAAAATAAATAAATTTTTATCATATAAGTAGAATATGTTCAAGTAAAATCAAACAAATAATTATAAATAAATTGATTTATTATAGTTAGTAAAAATATTTTGAAGGAGAAAATTATAAATATAATTAAATTAGTTTTTCTTTCTAGTTGTCTAACTAGTTTATAACTGATTGGAATATGTAAATGGTTTTTTGTATTTAAAAAAAGATTAATGATTTTAATATGTAAAACTTTATTAATCAAAAATGGTCTTGAATAATACTTTAAAGATAGGTGTTTGAGAGTGAAGTATGAGATATTTTTTATTATTACTGAGAATGATGAGGCATATTTGAAATAAAATCTTTTATTTAATTAAAAATGGTTGTCAAATCGCTAGCTCACAAAAGAATAATTCATAAGAGAACAAAAAGATTTGTTAGATTTGAATCAGAGGATTATCCTCATAAATTAAGACCTAGTTGGAGAAGACCTCGAGGTATTGATAACAGAGTGAGAAGAAGATTTAGAGGAAATAGACCAATGCCAAAAGCTGGTTATAGAGGTGATAAAAAAACAAGGTAAATATAAATAACAACAAAATAGATATTTGGATTAGGCTGGTTTCAGAAAATTATTAATCACAAATGAAAAGGATCTTGAATTATTACTTACTAATAACAGAACTTTTGCAGGTGAATTGGCTCATAATCTCTCAGCTAGAAAAAGAGCTACACTTGTAAAAAGAGCAGCCGAACTCAATGTTAGATTGACTAATGGCAAAGGCAAAGTTAGAGCAGAAGAAAAAAAAGAATGATTTCATCTGTACAATATATAAACATACATTAAATTACAATTATATATTAATGAAATTCAAACACTCTCATTTTTCATTTAACAATTGATTTAATTACTCTATTACAGATGGAATATTTACAATCTAACTTAACTCTGTATAATTATGAAGTTTCATGCATTCCTAAAATAAAATAAATTAAATACTTGTATTGTTTAAAAGAAAAACTATCTTAAATTAAATGTGTCATCATATAAGCAAAGTTCTTATAAGATTTCCTTCCGATAACTTTTTCTATACTATTTAGATAATCTCATTTATTTCGAATTTGCTTATTTTTTTTTATTTTGTTATTGCAATTCTCTAAACTCTTTAGATTTGAGTTCAAAATCATAATCGATTTCAGGAAATGCATCTTATAGTACAAGTTGAAAAACCTTTTCAAATGTAGACTTTTAAAGATATTGTATGAATAGCAATTAAGAAATTATATTTATTTTCTTGTTTCCCCTACAAGTAATATGTTAAGCTGTCTCTTACCATAGAATAAAATATTAATCTATTGATACTTACACAGAATTTAATAATTAAATCATACTCGTTACATCCTTTAGAATAAACCTATTAAGAATCTCCAAAATATTATTCTTGTATTAAATTGTGTAATACATATTATCAACTTAATCACCTACATTTAATTTAATCAATTCTTAGATTAAAAATATAATAATCTATTAATTTTATTAAATAGTGATGTTTTCATATTGTTTCAAAATTATCGTTTCTAATAAACTTATGCAACTCTTCTTTAAAATAAGAGCAGCATTATGGGATTCTATTTATTAAGCAATTTGTAATCTTTCTTAGAGAAGAATGAATACATTTGGAGATAATTAAATAAGATTTAACAACAAGAGTTCTTCAATAACTCTTAATATAGTTTACATGTGATTAAAATCAATATCTTTCATCAGCACTTTCTCATGTGTAATATAAAAATTGCTAAATAAAATACCTGTTGAATTGTCATCTGATACTGGATCATATTCTTATAATAAAAATTATAAAAATTCAAAAATATTATTTTCTTTGGAATCCAAATTAGTTTCTATTAAAACAAGTGCTAATTTATACAAATGATGTAAATTTGTTCCTAAAGGAAAAGAAACAAATAAAGCAAAAAACATATCACATAATGCTATTATAAGCAATTATGATTTTGTCCTCATTAATAAAATTATGTCAGAGTTCTCAATGACTTTAACTAAAATTTACATAGAATTAGCATTTTTTTCTGAATATTTTAAAATAAGAGTTTCTAATAGGGATAACAAAGGCCATAAAATGCTAGATTTTTATAAATTGCATAATAATTTAACGATTACAGGTGCAACTTATTCAAAAAATTAAATATTCTTAAAATCAAAATTCTACCCTAAACAAATAATAATATTCTTAATGCACATCAAAGTTTAATATTAAACTATCTAATCTTATGAACTGCTTAATAAAAGTCGAGAATATTCTAAAATTTAAGGTAATTCAGAATCACTAAAACAATTACAATAGCTTCTACATAAAAAAGCAAACCTTCTTTAACTTTAAATTGTGTTTGCCTTTATTAAATATTATAAAACAGGTTAAATTTAGATGGGCTAGATCTTCAGTTTTGTTGTAATTTTTGGTGTCTATCCCAATATTGCAAAAAAGCTTTCCAAAATTTATTAATTTGCATTAAAATTATTATTTATTAACTATTACATAATTTGGGTTATTTTTTGAATGAATAAATCAGGAAATCTTTACATCAACTAGTATTGACACATTAAGCAAATTGTAAATATAGGACAATGCATTTCATTTTATGTATCATCTTATGTTGAATCTTCCTCTTATTCAATTAGTTCTTCATCACTAAGATCACTTGGAATTGCTGCAATTTTTATAATTTATTCAATTAGAAATTACATATTTTCCTAGAAAAACTAATTAAAGAGTTAATTGGCAGTTTGTATTTTTTAATTAAATTACTCTTAGTTTGTATCTTAAAGTTTAATATTATAATTTTTCTCATTTTTAAATTAGAAATAGCTTTTTAATATTTTGATAATTCCAATTAATCCTGTTCTTAAAACTCTTTTGTCCTCCCATTCATTCTATATTATTAATTTTAACAATATCAAATAATCTTAAAAACCTTAGATGATACAAAGTGAGAAAAGACTTTAAATATTACCCAAGCAATGAAGCAGAGTTTTAAAATTTGATTATAATAACTTTTATTGTTAGACTATTTTTAATTAAAAGACTGTTTTCTCTAACAATAACATAAATACTAATTCTATTTTCTCACTAAAATTAAATCAATATATTTTTACTAATTTTATCCTAATTGTAGAGGCATTATAGTTAATGATAATAGTCTGTCTAACTTTTTGGAAATTTTATTAATTTAAGAATTATTGTTTATATTTTATTGTAATTCTTGCTATTAAATCGAGGTGACATTTTTCCAAAGAAGTATTAAATTATTCCAAATAGCTAAAAAAAATTATTCTTATTAAAGTCTCCAAAAAGCTAAGTAAATTTATACAAATACTATTTCTATTTTATACAACACTTTTCTCAACAATTTTTAATGAAACTATTAAATCATAAGTAAGAGTGCAATTAGTGGATCCACTTTATATAATAGTTTGAAGTCCTTAAACAAAATAATTTACTAATCCTTAAAATTTTAAAGGAAAATCATGCTTAGCAATTACAGAAAGAATCAAATTGATTTCTTTTTTAAATTTTTCATCCTAAACAACCGCCAAAAATTACAAAATTTTATCTTTAACATGATTTTTCAACTCCTCTGATATTATTTAAATTTTTTGATTTTCTTTTATCTAATTTTTAATCCAATTTCTCACTATGATATTTTTTATTAGCAATAATGATTAGAATTTATTTAAATATACCTTTAAAAATCATCAATAAAGTTAATACCTAACTGTTCTCAAAAATCTGTAAAAGCGCCACTAAAATATAAGGATGATTTTATTCTAAATTTCTTAAATAGGAATCTGCTTCTTTTCCAATCTATTGATTTTTAGTGGTCATAATTATGTTAAATGCTTCTTCTATTTTTTAAGGGTCAGGAATTTCTGTACTAAGCATAGTATTCTTATGTTTATAAATTATTCTTTTTATTAATTTACACAAATAATTTCAAAATAAAATGTTCCTTATAATCCAATATATTTTAAAGTTATATGAGGCAAAAATTTTGATATTTTATCCTATAAAACTTTTTATGTAATTATAAAACCTTTGTCTTTTCTCTTCTAACTTTATTAAATGTAAAATATTTATTTAACATAAATATGTATTTTTATTATTTTTTCACTTATTGTATTATTGTTTTTAAGAGAAGTTTTATCTTAAAAATACTTAATTCGAATAATCATTTTTTTAGTAAATAAAATCTAAAACTATATAAATAGAGTTAAAGACTTATTCTATAAACTAC